ATATATATATATACATATACATACATATATATACAGATATATATATATATATATATATATACATATATATATATATATATATATATATATATATATATATATATATATATATATATATACATATATATATATATATATATATATATATATATATATATATATATATATATATATATATAGATATATATATATATATATATATATATATCCCCCCCCTGCGGGGAGACAGACCAAGAAGGGAGGAAAGAGGGGGGGGGTGATGAAGATACTCATGCATGTGTATGACTTTGTATGTACGTGTCTGTCTCTGTATCTGTCTCAACCCCACCTACATCGACGCCTACATCGATCTCATCGTCATCGTCATTGTCATCGTCATTGTCATCGTTATCATCATCATCCTCAACATCAACTTCCCCTCGAAGGATCGCCCTCGAGTACGAGGGAAACTCAAGCCTGCGGTTGCGAGCAACTGGGACAACGGGCCTGGTCGGCCTGGTCGAGTCCATGCCCAACGATGGCGTGGTGTATGCGCTGCTGAGGTTGGACTTTGAGCTGCGAGACCTTGTTGTAGTCAAGTTCCTCACCGTCTGCTGGGTCGGCGAGCACATCAGCGTCATGCGCCGAGCGCGCATCTCGGTCCACCTGTCGTCGGTCGAGGCTCTGTTCGGCTACACCCACCTGACGGTCCGGACTGACCGCGCCGACCTTGCTCCCGAGGACATCCTGCGCTCGCTCAACATTTCCATGGGCTATGACGTGACCGGCGACATGTTCGGCCGCCTTGCCAACGTTGTATACATGCCCGAGGTGCCGGCCGTCTACGGCGCTGTCGAGTTTACCGACTACGACTCGGTCGAGCAGGGCAAGCGGGCGATGATGGCGTCCAAGGCCGCCATGGAGCAGGCCATGGCCGACATGGCCAAGCGCCACGAAGACACCTTTGCCTCGCTCTTCTTCTCCGAAGCAGACGCCATCGTCTGCCGCTGCATCTTTCCTCAGTTTCCCACGGCCACAGGCGTCTACGCCGCCGACCGCGTCGTCCTTGCCTCCGACACTCTCCTCGACCTCCTCCGCCTCCTCGCTTCGACCATTGTGCGCCGTGCCGAGAATGCCGCCCAAGCCTACGCCGCAGAGGCGAGCTCGGCCGCTGTTCTCGAACGCGACGAGAGCACCGCAACCGGGGCCGCCTCGTCGTCGACCAGCGAGTCGGCTGCGGCACTCGCAGACCTGCAGTCCCGCTTCCTCGACATGTTCGGTGACCCGTCCGCCGTCCGCATTGCTGTCTCGGTCGTCGAGCGCATCGCACCCCGCGAGCACGAAACTCCAAAGTCGGCGCTCGAGTCAGCCGCCTCAGACGCCCAGTGGGAGGCTGCGACGTACGCCCGGCTCAGCACCGAAGACGCGACCCAGGTCCTCGCTCGCTCCATCGGTTGGGATACCCAGCTTGGCGCCCTACGCGTCGTCCCCACCTCGCGCGACGAGGACTCGGCTGCCGCCGTCTCAGAGGCAGCGGCTCGGCTCCACACCTACCGCCACCTCAAGAAGATCCACGCCCACCTCGAGGACGACGCCCTCGTCCTCACCCTCTACTGAGCGTAAAGCCAAAGCCCGCCCCCGCATCACACCAGCTCCCACTCGTCGTCGCCGCCGCTGCCGTCGCCGCTTCTGCCCCGCCCTCCAGCCCGCGCCGCTGCCGCAAGATGCGCCTGCAGCGCCCGCTGCAGCCGCTCAAACTGGTTCGTCGTCATGCTGTGGTAGCCAAGCCACGGTAGCGCATACACTTCCTCCGCCTCGGACCCAAACATCGTGTACGCCATGCTCTGCGCCCCAACGTACGGCGAGCGCAGCGCCTGCAGCAGGTTGCGAAGCGGCGAGTCCAGCTCGCGGACCTTGGTCGGCAGGCCAGCCGATGCCGCAGCAACCACCGCAATGTTATAGTTGAGCAGCGCAAGGCCCTCCTCCCAGTCGTAGATGAGGCCCGCCGCCGATCGCAGCGCCACAGGCAGGCCGGCGAGCGTCGCCTCGGTCTCGTCGTCGTCGCCAAATGTCGCCGCGTTGCGAAAGAGCGTGATCCACGGCCCTACCGGAGTGTATCCGATGAGCGACCGTGAGCCGTGATGGACAATCGGGTACGGCAGCGCAACGCCAAGGTAGCTCTCCACCAGCGAAAGCAGCCGGACCAACGTAGCCATGATGGCGTCAAACTCTTCGTCGGTGAGCGACTCTACCAGAAGATGAGGCGGCGCCTGCGACGACGCCCGCCCGTGCAGCCGGTCGTGAACAGCCGGCCGCGACGTCGAGTCGTCAGCCATCGCCAGGCCCGCAAGCTCGTGTGCATGCTCGTCTATCGGGTTGAGCGGGAGGACCGAGAGCAGCTCGACCACCAGCGCCCTGCGCGACTCAATCAGCGAGGCCTGCACCTCGGGCAGCTCGGAGCCGTGCTCGTCGTCCCACCGCTCCACGAGCCCGTCCCACTTTTCCATCGCCGTCGCCAGCCGCGCTCGCCGTTTGGCTAGCGCCTTTCTCCGCTTGGCCAGCGCCTTGCTCGCCTCCTTGTTGGCCTTGACCTGCCTCCGGCTCGCCTGTCGCTTGGCTGCCACCGCCAGCTTTAGCCGCGCCACTCGATCCCGCGCCTTGTCCACCCGTGCCTCCCATCGCGCCCGCCCACTTGCAGCAGCCACCAGCGGCTCGACCGCAGACCGAAGGCGCTTCGCTACCGCCTCGGACGCCGCCACCCGGGCAGACGCCTCAGCACGAGCCTCACCCACACAGCGGCCACAATACAAGCCCATGATGTCGTTCCGCTCGCATACCGGGCACACCCCGGCTTCCATCCCTATACCACCCTCCGCTGTAACTCTTCCAGCCACGACTGCTTGCCTCTGCTACCACCACCACCACCCGTGCCCTTCTCAGCCGAGTGTTCCGTCAGCAATGATCGAATGCAATTGCCGTCCTCTGGCTACTGCCCCCCCCCACCCACCCTCCCCCCACCCCCTCGCCACCTCCGGCTGACTCGCTCCACCCTGCCACCCACGAATCAATCAAATGACGATGTCCCTCCACACACACACACACCAACCCGATTGCTCCACTTGCGAAAGGTCGAGCATGTCCAGACCCCTTCAAACGGTTCTCCATCACGACAGTGACCGTGCCACTGATCATTCGCACGACTGATCATGAGGGCGATCACGATGACGACGGCGACCACCACTGCCACCCCTCTCCCTCTCACCACCCCCCCTCTGCTGCGCCATGGCTGCTGCTGCTTCCTCGACCGAGTTTGAGTACCTCACGGGCTTCAACAACCACTTTGCTACCGAGGCCCTCCCCGGAGCTCTGCCCAAGGGCAAGAACTCTCCCCAGAACTGCCCCTATGGCCTCTATGCTGAACAGGTTCGTCCACTGGCTCCCCAAACTGACCCACATCTGCCGTCTCTGGCCCTGCCAGCGCTGCCACCTCGGCTCACGTGCCGTTGATGGCTTTTTCCTCACTCTGCGACCTTTTTTGGAACACGGCCACACACTCACTCCACCCGCTCTTACTTACGTCGCGACAGCTCTCAGGCACTGCCTTTACCCGACCGCGGGCAACCAACCGGCGGACATGGCTGTACCGGATCCGGCCGTCTGTCTGCCACTCGGGTCCGTTCCTTCCCTACCCGCATCCGACGGCCGCGCTCTCCGAGTCGGTCCCCACGCCGCCGAGCCAGCTGCGGTGGAAGCCGCTGCCGATTCCCATTGTGGGCGAGGGCGTGTCCGAGGGCGAAGGCATCGACTTTGTTCGTGGACTCAACAAGATGGCCTCGGCCGGTGAGCCGTCGATGAAGGCCGGCGTCGCCTTTTACATCTACACGGCCAACGAGCCGATGACCCGGACGGCGCTCAAGAACGCCGACGGCGACTTCCTCATCGTCCCGCAGTCGGGCGAGCTCATCGTGAAGACTGAGATGGGCTCCATGCATGTCCCGCCGGGCTTCATCTGCGTCGTCCAGCGCGGCATCGCCTTCTCGGTCAACTTTGCCGAGGGCACCACCGCCGTCCGCGGTTATGTCTGCGAGGTCTACGACGGCCACTTTGAGATCCCCGACCTCGGGCCCATCGGCGCCAACGGGCTCGCCAACCCGCGCGACTTTGAGTCGCCCGTCGCCGCCTACGATGCCGACGCCGAGGATCCGGCCGACAACGCCTTTGTCGTCGTCCACAAGTTCCTTGGCGCCCTGTACGAAACCCAGGCCTCGCACTCGCCGTTCAACGTCGTGGCATGGCATGGCAACTACGCGCCGTGGCGCTACAACCTCGACAATTTTAACGTCATCAACTCCGTCTCGTTTGACCACCCAGACCCGTGCATCTTCACCGTTGTCACCGTCCAGACTGCAGAGCCCGGCCGCGCCGCCCTCGACTTTGTCGTCTTCAAGGAGCGCTGGTCTGTCGCCACAGACACCTTCCGCCCGCCCTACTTCCACACAAACTGCATGACCGAGTTCATGGGCCTCATCACCGGCCGCTACGACGCCAAGGAGGAGGGCTTCCTGCCCGGCGGTGCCTCGCTCCACTCGGCAGGCTCGGCCCATGGCCCCGATGTTGACGCCTTTACCAAGGCCACAACCTCGGACCTCACCCCGGACTTTATCTCCGAGGGCGCCATCGCCTTTATGTTCGAGTCGTGCTACCTCACCCACCTCTCCAAGTTTGCTCTCGACGAGAACCTCCTCGACACCAGCTACACCGAGTCGGCCTGGGGCCCCTTCGAGTCGAACTTTGACCCGACCAAGCCGTAGTCGTAGCCGTAGCCGCAGCCCTTCTCGCAGCCACACTACCAGAACTCATCTAGCCAGTCATTGAACGCCTTGCGCACCCTGCACACAACCAACCCACTCAACGCTGAGTGCATGGGATCGGCTCCGCTCGCCCCATCGGCCCGCCGCTCGTGGGCCAGTCATTCGGCCACACCGCTCGCCCCCGCCCGACAAGCCGCCGCACACCCCGCACACACACCCACGCATCCCGAGTCGGACAGATAGTACACGTACACTCCACCACGCCACACCACAACACAACACAACACAATCCCCCAAACAGCTGACCAGCACCAGGTGTGTGGTCATGAGTGGAGCTAATGTGGACGCAGTGGTGGAGGGCATTGACCGGGTGTATGGCATTGGCGAGCAGGTCGAGGCAGCCACCGAGGTCCTCGTCTCCACCCTCTTCATGCCTCAGCTGGAAGACCAGATCGTAGCTGACATCGATCGCTTGCACAACCTTCTTGCTGAGCTCCTTGTCGCCGGTTCAAAGTTTGTCCAAAAGGCTGCTTCTACAGGTATCGACAAAGAGTACGGTCTTAACCCTTGCTCCCCCTCCCCTATCCCCCTCACCCTCCCCTACCCTCTTCCTGTTTGCTCACCTCACCAAGACTGACGATCACCCCCCCCTCTTACATATCACACACAGTCTCTCGACACTCCTTCAACGCATCCGTGAGCGTCAAGTTGGCCTGCTCACCCTCATCCAGACAACAGGCAGGCTCGACACCGCCTCCAAGATCTTCATGTCGCGGCTGGGCATGCTGGGCGATGCTTTGGACTCGCTTGCATGCGCCATGGCTCCAGATAGCGCCCCGCTTGCGGACTCTTCTCGCGATCAGAGCACGAATCAGAGCATCATCGTTGTTGCCCCGCCGCTACTCTCAGTTCTTGATGAGCTGCAGGCCGACATCGCCTGTGTCCTCGCTGACAACGCCCAGAGCGCCGATCGTGTCGAGGCCTCTATCAAAGACCTTATCGTCACCTGCAACTCCGAGTGCGAGGTCATGGCTTCAGATTCTATGGCTATTGCGTGGTACAAGGGCCTCGGGAATGCACTACTCACACGCGCTGCTGCGCTCCGTGGCCTTGCAGGCGATGCGGTCGCAGACGCCATTGCCGAAATCAAGGCCAACGCTCACGATCTTGTCCGCTGGTCGGTTTCGGTTTACGTCCGTGGTGAGATCATCCAGTCGACGACTGCTTCGCATGCTCTCGTCCGCTTCCTCCGCGCCCAGCCCGAGGAGGCCGTCCCGTCATCGCTTCACGCCACCATGGACACGCTGGCTGCCGCCGGCGTCGCTCTTCTCAAGCTCATCAAGAACATCCGTGCCGTCGCTCCGCCGTCTGCTCCTCCACTCCAGCTGCCTTCCGCAGACCTCGACACCCTCTCTGATCGCATCGAGTCGTCCGTCGAGGCCACATCGCAGGTGGTGGCCGGTGCCCTCGCCGCCCGTGCCTCGCTCACCATCGTCGCCCCGGACGCGGTTGCCGAGCTTGACAGCCTGCTGGAAATCGTCGCCAACTCGCTCCGCGCCTCTCGCGCTGCCCTTGCTGAGTGGTCTGTCGTCTGCGACTATTCCATGGACGAGCCGTCTGTCCTCTCCTCTACCCGGACAGACGGCGCAAGCTCACCGGTCGAGGCCACTTCCTCGCTCCTTGCCGTTGTGCACGGTCTGCAGTCGATCGAGGCTGCCGTCAACGAGGGTGTTTTTGAGCTCGATCTCTCAGGCCTCGAGCCGGGATCCACCCCGAGCGGCGACCTTCTTGTCGACGTCGGCAACGGTGTGCTACAGCTCCTCTGCGACCTTGTAGCCTCGCTTGTCGCCTACGTCCGCGTCGCGTCTACCGCGCCCGCCAAGCTTGGACTCTGTCTCTCGGGCATCGCCCTCCTCATGGAGGACGTCGAGCCTGAGATTCGCTACCTACTCTCGCTCGCAGTCCTGATCGAACCCGAACTCTCGCTTGCTCGTGACATCCTCGTTCACCTCCCGCACAAGGCTGTCGAGCTGGCCCTCGACATGGAGGCCATCTTCCGCATCACCACCGAGACAAGCGTGCTTGACTCTGCCCAGGCTGACGCTCTCGGCGCTGCCGTCGGCGCTGCATGCCGCATCGACGGTATCGTTCGCTCGCTGAGCGCCATCCTCTCTGCTGTCGCAGACACCAACGAGAATAACGCCCTACCTTCGTCTGAGCGGCCGAGTGCCCTCGGCGCTGCTCTCGGCGCTCTCGGCGCTGAGCTTGAGACTGACGCAGCCAGGGCTGTCATCCGCGACTTGGAGCCGGAGGCTCTCGGTGACCTTGCGCTCGCCTCGCGCTCTGCAGGCGGTGCTGCTGCCGTTGCTGTTCCACCTGTCCTCCCCGACTCGGCTGTTGCTGGCACCGACCGCCTCTTGCATGCTCTCGCCTCCATGCTCTCGGCCCTCTGCCGCAACGTCGAGCCGCGCGAGTTTCTTCTCCACCGCATCGAGACCGTCCGCTGCTTGCGCAACGTTCTCGGCTGCCTTGTTGTGGAGCGCACCCGGGCTGAGGTCCGCGCTCGCGTCCCGTCCACAGCAGGCAAGCGCATCTTGGACCTCGTGGCACACATTTGCACGGCCTGCTCCACTCTTCACCTCGAGGCCTCGACCTCGCTCGCTCACGGTCTCGGCTTCTTCCTCTCGTCGCCGACTGCAAAGTCGGCGCTGGCCGACATGGCTGAGGCTCTCGCTGCGCTTGCCTCCTTCCTGGCCTCCGTCTTGTTCTTTGACGATGTTGCCGACTCGCTTCCCAACTCGGTCGAGCCGCTCCTCAAGACCTTGTCGTTTCTCGCCGAGCCGTCGCCAGTCGACCGCGCCGTTGCCGTTGTCGTTTCGCTCGAGGCGGCGGTCAACCCAGACTCACCGCTGCATGCCGCCCACGACAGCCTCTTTGCCACCTTTGAGTCTGAGGCGGGCTTGGTCGTGAGCGCGTGTCCCAGCGATGCTCCGCTGTTCAAGCTCCTGCAAGCCAGGCTCCATGCCGCCCAAGCTGCCCAGGCCCAAGCCCAGCGCCTGGCCGCTGTCCACGCCGCCCGCTCTTTCGTCACCTTTGCCACCCATCCCAAGACTCGGCTATACCTGGAGCACTTTACCGGAGCGCTCGCCCGCGCCCGGCAGATCTCAACCTCGGCGCGCCTCGCCCCACCCTCGCCGCTGCTGCAGCCGACTGCCGGCTCCAACGACCTCGAGACCGTCAACGATGTGGAGGAGTTGCTACGCTTGCTCATCCTTGCCACCGCATCGCGAGTCGCTTCGGCTGTCTCGGGCTACGTCTACCAGCTGCAGGCTCGACTCCTTGACCTCAACTCGCGGGCCCGCGTCACCTCGGTGACACAGGACGCCGGTGTCCGCATCGAGCGGTGCTTGACTCTGGCTCAAGACTATGTCTACGACGTCGAGGCCGATGCGGTCGATGCGACAGAGACGCTCGTCAAGGCCCACAATGCTGCGCTCGACACCCTGCACAAGGTTCGCAACGAGTTGCTCGCTCCATTGGTGCCTCCGTCCAGTGCCCTGGACTTTTCCCTCTCGCCACTCAAGCGCAATGAGTCCGAGTCCGAGTCGCTCATGTCCGAGAACCCGCCTTCAAGCCGCGGTGGGCGCGCTCAGCAAAGTAACTTGGCGTCGCTGGTCTCATTTGCCTCGCGGCGCGCCTCGCTTTCGTCCACGCCCAAGGAGAAGATCTCAGACTCGGAATCGTCGCCGTCTTCGTCGTCTCCGCCTCCGTCGTCGGCAGGCATCTCTGCCTCGTCGGCAGACTCGGTCCCAGCTGCCCTCGACTCCAGCTCAGACTCGGACTCGTCGTCGCTCGACACTGCAGATCTCGAAGCTGCTCAGGAAGCCGCTGATGCTGCTGCAGCCATCGGCTCGACCACTCCCGCTGCATCACGTGATGTGACGCCTGCTGAGGCTGCATCACCGCCTGCCTCGGCCTCGGGCTCGGCCTTGGGCTCGGCCTCGAGCTCTGCTTCGAGCTCGTCTTCGGCTTCGGGCTCGGTCGTGCTGCGCGAAAGCCAAAGTCTTGGTGAGCACCCGCCAGTCGCTCCGGCCCCGGCGCCGCTGGCAGAGGAGACAGCTGTTGCAGCAGCCAACCATACCGGCGATGGTCTCGCGCCCGAGCTCCAGGTTCTCATCGATGCCATTGGCCAAGACATGGTGTTCGTTGCCGAGGCACTCGCCAACCCGCAGCTCGGCGAGACTCACGCAGTTTCGTCGCTGGCCTCGTCGGTCAAGAACTTTATTGCCATGGCCGAGGCCGTGTGCGGAGAAAACAACGCGGTCTTTGCTGCCGCCGAAGATCTCGGCGTATCCATGTCACACCTTGTGGCTTGCGTCGTCACCGTGGCCGAGGTCGAGGTCGATGAGTCCTCATCGTCATCATCATCATCATCATCATCATCATCATCGTCCTCATCACATGAGGACAGACATGAAGCGCTCGACCGCGCCCTTGGCGCAGCAGTGGAAGCCCTCTCTGGCGTCGGACACGCTACCAAGACGCTCACTGCAACGCTTGTGGCGCTGTTCGGGGCGACCGGCGGCGATGCGAACGGGCATCTAGCCCTGGAAGAGACTTACTGTGACGACGATTTTCTCTCGTACTCGGACGTGCCGACCCACATGGTGCGGCACGAGTCGTGGACCTCACTCTGTGAGTCGGGCTCAAGCGATCCGCCCCTGCAGGTTGCAGGCGTCCGGGTCCAGATGGCGGTTGACGCCATGTTTGCCACGGACTCGGTTGATGGCCTCGTCTCGCGCGGCATCGACGTGCTCAAAGAGCTCAAGGCCGTGGCGGATCTTGCCACCGACGCTGCTCAGATCAACGAAGAGTTTGTCGAGGACGTGAGGGAGGTGGTCCAGCTTCTTGCCAAGGCCGTCGGCACTATTCGCTCCGATCCAACAGCGGCAACGCCCGAGTTCATGCATGAGCTTGCACAGCTTCTAGAGGACGATGTCTACGTCCTAGGCTCGGAGCTGGAGCAAGGTCTGTATGGCGTCGACTCGGACAACACTCAGTCGGACGATGCGGGTGAGTCAAGCGGTGCGGGTGCACCGACTGCGGTGTCGCCGGTTGCAGAGCGGCGCCAAGCTGTGCTCCGCACCGATGAGGGCAACTGGCATGTCTTTGCCCGCTCACTGCAGTCGTTGTATGGGCATGCAGTGGCGACGGCCCATGCCAAGTCTGGTCAGCGCGAGCTTGCGCGCGTCCTCGTCAAGCGCATGGCCGAAGTTGCCGGCGCCATGGAAATGGTTGCCGGCCAGTGCGAGACCCGTGGGCGGGACACAACCGCGACGACGCTCCACGAGCTCGTGGCAACGCTTACTCAAAGTGGCGTTCGCGCCGCCGCCGCCGCCCAATGCGACGACGCCAGCGGAGAGAGCCTTGGCAGCAGCCACGTGGTCGAGGCCGAGAACGTATTTATCAGCGTGGCGGCGGCGATCGGCGAGGTCATGGTCCGCGTCATGAAGCGGATGCAAGCAGCCGGCTCGGGCGCTGACCTCGACGCGCCCGACGCCAACCCGGACGAAACGTGGGTGGAGCAGTGGTCACCGCTGTACGAAGACGTCATGTACGAGTCGTCACGCGGAGTGGTGCTGTGGCGCGAGCCGGTGTGCGGCTCGATTGAGCGGCTGCCAGACGACGCACCGCGGCTGCGGTCGTCGCTGGTCCCTCCGGAGGAGGTGCTCCACGAGGTCGGTGGCCAACCGATGCTGGCGTACGCCATTGTGGCGGCCAAAGCAGTGCTGCACTGCGCGGCGCTACTGGAAGCCGGCGGAGTTGCGCTCAATGTGGTCATTCCCAAGACGCTCAAGACGTCATGCAAGACGGCGCGAATGCTACTGAAAGCAGCGCGCAAAGCTGTGGTTGAGCACACCAAGGACTTTGGGCTCGGTGGTGTCATGCGCGCCCTCGAGCTTGGGCTCGACTCGGTCAAGTCGTTTTGGGCGACGGTCAAGCGGGTGCTCCGCGATGGCGAAGTGAGCGACGCCAAGGCGAGTGCTGCGTCGTCGCAGGCATTCCACGACGGCGTCAAGGCGCTGTCGTCGATGGTGGCGGCGGTTAACGAGCTTCAGGCCGAACGCGGTGGAGGAAAGAGTAAGGCTGGAAGCGCAGCGCCGAGCCGAAGCCGTGGCCTGCGCGGCACGGTGGCGTCGAGCCAGCCGCGGCATCGGACAGCGCCGCGGTCGCTGCATGTGGCGTCGGGCGCGACGCGACGGCTATGGGTCGGCGATGTGGCCACAGTGGTCGATGCTCTGGCGCCAAGCTTCCACAAGCTAGTGGAGGGCAAGTCGTCAGCTCGCCACGAGGCGGTGTGCGAACTTCACGACGGGCCGGTCGGGCGGCTGGTGCAGACTGCGCAGCGGCTGGTGGCCGAAGCGAACGACAACGAGACAAGCACTGCGCACGTCTCGCTGGCACCGTCGCTTGTGCACGAGCTCTCGGCCGTGGCAGGTGCGATGGCGTCGACAGGCCGCAAAGTGGTAGTTATGGACAAGACCGCGCGCAAAGAGAAGCGCAAGAAGTTTGACATGCTGGCAGCGGCGTACGCCAAGGGTGTTAAGAAGCTTATGGCAGACGTGGCGCTTGTCGTTGCAGTCCGCAACATCGCCGACGCGGGCATGGCACTGGCGGCCGCCGCGGCCGAGTCTGAGCTCAGTGAGCCGCTCGCTGCCGCGGTGAAGAATGCACAGCACCTGGCGGCCGGCGAGGACGCCAAGCTCAAGGAGCTCAAGGTTGCGGTCCGCAACGTGGCACGGGCCGTACAGGCCGAGATGAGCGACGACGCGCTGCTGCCGGCCATCAAACGAGTCGGGTGGATTCTGGACATCACCAAGTCGATGTATCGCAAGGTCAAGGCTGTGCTCCGTGTGTAGTCTGTTTTAACTGTGCTAAATGTCCGGATCAATCCACTGGCGCTCCTTGTAGTGGCGGAGGTCAAAGTCCGAGTCGACGTAGTGAAGGATGATATTGGCGACACGCGAGACGCCCTTGGGCAAGGGGCTGCGAAAGTGGATGTGGCTGCGGCCCTGGAACAGAAGCCCGTCGCCAGAGACCAGGTACACCGCGGTAGTGGTCGACCGATCAGGCTGTTGGCGCCAGGATGCGCGCATGGGCAGCGTCTCGAGCTGGTCGACGTAGAGCGGCCAGTGCGCGTCGGCGCCGGGCTCGCCCTGAAAGGCGACCTGGATCGAGAACGTGTACTGGTTGTCCTCACGGTCGGTGTGAGGGAAGAGTGCGTGTGCTGGCTGGCCGAGGCGCGGATCGATGGCGTAGTCTGAGTAAAACGAGTAGGCGACCTTGACTGGACGGGAGAGCACGGCCTCGGCGAGCGGGGCGAGTGCAACGTTGAGAAAGTAGCCGACCCGCTCTGACTTGGCCGTTCGCCGGCCCTGCTCGAGATCCTCCCACACCACAAACTCGCCGTCGACACACGAGTCATAATACTCAACGAGGAGAGTGAGCTCGTACGGCGAGAGCACGTGCTGCAGGTGGCCGTAGCCAAAGTCGTTGCCAGCGAGCTCGGCGCCAGCACCGGCGACACGAGACGCGTTGGTGGTGGCAAGGCCGGACCACCCAATGCTCACAGGCTCGGCAGTGGTATCCGAGTACCCATTGTCGGCAGTAGGAACTGGTGTTCCAGTCCGATGGTGGCCATGCCGGGCGTCGATGCTCGCGCCGAGATCGGCGGCGGCCGACGGAGCCCAAAGGTGGAGCGTCTCGAGCGAGGTGCGCAAGAGGAGGAGTCGTGCCAGTGGCGCCGCATAGTGGGTGAACGGTGACGAGTTCTCCATCGAGCGACCAACATAGCCCATCGGCCGCGAGTGGTAGTCGTCGTAGCACATGAAGCACGACGACGGATCCACGGCCAGCATCCGCGCCGACGCCAGGAGCTCGCGGGCGCGCTGGACGTCAGCTGGGCTGGAAAACTCAGCAAGGTAGCCTCGCATAGCGTCAAGCCGTCCCATCGAGTTGCGCAGCTGATAGCGGTTCAAGCCGGGCGCGCCGACAATGCAACCGCCCCGCGAGGCCAGCCTGGCTCGCAGCGTGTAGAGAGCCTGGCTCGCGGCCACAAGCTCCATCTTTCCGTCAACCAGCGCCAAACCAGCGAGCGCGACGGCAGCATCAATACCCGCGCCATGAACACAACCTGCATCACCAGCCTCAGCCTCGGCCATGACGTCAAGGAAGCAGCTCCTCGCCTCAATCATGACGGTCTTGTCCGGGCGTGCGGCATTCTCGCTCAGATCAACCAGACTTGCCAGCAGTGGCGACAGGCAGCGAGCCAATTTTCCAAACAAAGCCCCTCCGCTGCCCGAGTCCATCATCTGGGCCTTCACCTCATTACCTTGACCATCCGTCGCGCCAACAACCACACTCTCACGCGCGTCCATGACGTCAAGGCCTGTCAACTCGTCCGAGGTGCTCGCATTGACCACGGCTGCCACCAGGAGAACAACAACCAGTGCGTGCACCAAAGCGAAAGCATGCATGGTGTGGTAGGGGGGGGGGGCAGTTGACCTCGAGTGGAGTATGGGTGTGGGTGTGGATGGGTAGGCGTAGGCGTAGGCGTAGGCGTAGGTGTAGGTGCCAGCGGGCTGCCGGCGACACGTCGTGCGCAGAGAGCCTTTTGGCATTCCGCACAGTCGAAGAATTGGTTTTTTCTCCCGTAGAGCGGCAAAAGGATAAATACTGCCTCGTCGTGGGAGGAGAGGAGAAAAGATGATGACGATGGGAGAGAGGAGGGAGGGGAGGGGGTCAAAGGGAGTGAGTAGCCGAGGTTGACCACGTTGAATAGCAGGGTGGGGGGGGGGGGGGGGGAGGGAAGAAGTGAAAGTGCGTGGGTTTGGGGCAAAGATTTGGTGCGATCATGTTTTTTGTCGTCCCAGGCCGGTTTTGGCTCCGATGCGCTCGGAGAGAGGCACAGAGGGCACGCGCATGTCCACAAGACGGTCGTGATAGTACAGATATCAAGGGAGTGTGTTGTTGGTGCAGATCTGTGCTGCAAAGACATCTCGTCCCTGTGTCTGACTCCTTCTCACCCATGATGGTCTCGTCGTGGAGCACCGAGCAGCGCAGATGAATGCGATAGACGGCGGCAGTCGACACCAACCTTACAACCCTAATGAGGCTCAGCTACCTTGCGGTGACCGGGTCTGATCGGCTGGTCGGCTTGCGGGATTGGCTTCTGTCGCCAAGAGTGCAATCGTGCCTGGCAGATGCTCAACCGGTGCCACAGCAGCAGCCGCACAGCGAGCAGCACCACGTCACTCGAGCCATGGCAAGCAGCAGACGACGATCCTCGACCAGCACAGGCTCACCATCAGCATTATGGGACGCAGTGACTGAGGGTGACCTCAACCGTGTGCGCACCCTTGCAGAGGCTCCTGGTGGCCGTGTCGACGTGGTGGACGCGGTAGGTGAGCGCGGGCGAGGGCGACGGGCATGTTGTGGTAGCGGCATCGCAAGCAAAAGAGCAAGGGGGTTGCCGGTAGGTGGTGCAGGGTTGGGCCAGGGCGATCGGGCAGGGGAGACTAACGGGAAAAATTGGGTGGATTCGGGGACTGGTGGACTGGGGCGGCTCGGGGCCTTGGCGTGTGTGGCGACTCGGGACGGATACCGGTAGTACGGATGGACGCTGGTTCATGCGGCAGCGCACGGCGGTCATCTAAGGGTAGTGCAGGCGCTGGTGGAAGAATACGGTCTGTCAGGAGAGGCATCGGCCAAGAACGGATGGACGCCGCTGCACTGGGCGGCGGCGGCCGGGCACGGGCAAGTGGTGGAGTACCTCATCGGGATCGGGTGTGGCGTGGATGTCCGCAACAAGTTTGGCTGCACGCCGCTTCACTATGCGGCATCACGCGGGCATGTCCGGGTTGTCGAAGCCCTGGTTGTTGGACACGGTGCCAACGTAGAGGCCCGATCGCGTGATGGCAAGCTTCCGGTCGATTTTGCGCAGAACATCCACGTCAAGCGCCTGTTACAGATGCACTCCAAGGCCATGCAAGAGCTTGTAGTCCGGATCCTCAAGCTGGAAGACGCGTCGCGAAGCGTGTTGTACGAGCTGCTCGCCGAGCTGGAGGCCGAAGAGGAGCGCCGGTACTGGGAGGCCCATCCGGAGAGGATTGCACGGACGTCGCCGGGCGAGGCGAGTGAGCGGGTCCTACTCTTCCCGCCGCCGGCTGCCCACGGCAACAACAGCGGCTCGTTGTCAGACGAGAGCGACGACGAGGGGGAATCGAGAACTAGTAGCTGGGCCGCCGGCGCCGATCTTGCTGCACTGCCGATGCAAATGATGCACGGTGTGGGCGAGCTGGTCCGCCACGAAGCGGCGCCGTCGCTTACCGTCGCCGGACTGGCCGGCGCGGCAGCGGCAGCGCTGGGCTTTGTAGTTTACCGGGCAGTGTGGCGGCGATAATGCAGTTGCGGAGCAACCGGTCGCGGAGCGAGGGCAGAGTGGCAAGCCGGCCTGATGGCGTTCATTGGTTCTTCTTGTTGGTGAAGAGATAGTGCGAGACGAACCACTCCTGGCCATTGTTGTAGGCAAAGAGCTCGGCGCAGGCAAGGTAGAAGACGCGCCAGTAGTTGAAGAACTTGGTGGCTTCGTCGCCGTAGCACTGGGCAAAGATCTCGCGAACCTCCGCAGCGTTGTTGTCCATGTTGCGGAGCCAGTCCTCGCAGGTGTGGGCATAGTGGCGGCCGTCGACGCGCCAGTGCTGGGTGATGGCCATGGCATCCTGGAAGTACAGCAACAGATCGTCCGAGGGCATGGTGCCGCCGGTGAAAAAGTAGCGGCCCATCCACGAGTCCTGCTCAAAGTCGTAGGCGACGGTGCGGTGGACAAAGATGTGGACAAAGAGCATGCCGTCCGGCACCAGCCAGCGCGAGATGTTGCCCATCAGCACCTGGTAGTTCTTCATGTGCTCGAACATCTCGACTGAGACCACCCGGTCGTAGACTGACTCGTCGAGGTCGAGGTCGTTGATGTCGCAGGTGATGACCGTCAGGTTGGTCAGCCCGCGCTCGGCCGCCGTGTCGTCAATGTACTTTTTCTGCGTCTTCGAGTTGGAGACCGAGGTGATCGTTGAGCCGGGGAACTTGGCCGCCATGAACAGCGAGAGCGAGCCCCAGCCGCAGCCAAGCTCCAGGATGTTGAGTCCGTTGTCCAGCCGCGCACGGGAGCACGTAAGCTCGAGCATGGCATCCTCGGCAGCGTCGAGCGTCGTCACGCCCTCGGGGTAGATCGACGATGAGTACTTGAGGTTCTTGCCCAGGCAGATCTGGTAGAACCGATCATCGACCTCGTAGTGCTGCTCGTTGGCGTCGTCCGTTGCCACCGCGATCGGCATCTGCTTCAGCTTGGCCACGTAGTTGGCCTTGGCCTCGGCGGCCTCAGACTCATCGCTCCGCATCTCCTGCTCCAGCCTGTTGGACTCGACCAGAAAACCCGAGTAAGTGAGTATGGACTTGCCTTTGTGCCTCTCCTGACATCGCTTTTCTACCTCTCCACCGCCACTGCCCTGTTTTTTTCGATCTCTATCGGCTCTTTGCCCAACTCTTTCCCGCCGAGCAAAGAAAGCCAGCGACGAAGGCCCGAGGAGTAGCAGGCAGAGTACGACAGCAGTCAAGCAAGCAGTCAAGGAGAAAGGCTCACACGAGTTGCAGCATCATGGGCGTCGAAAAGAGACCAGGCCAAGATATTGGCTTTGGTGGGGGGGGGGGGGGGAGCACCATGGGTGCAGCAAGCCAGAGTGGTTGGTCAAACACTGTTGGCGCAAATGGCTGACGGGAGCAGGACGAGGGGGAGGGGGAGGGGGGGGCAGAGGGGACAGGGGGAGGAAGACAGGGGGGGGATGGGAGGGCCTTACCGCTGTCCGAGCTGGCGGCGAATGCCCATGCGGATGAGAAAGTCGGGAAGAAGTCCGCGTTCAAGGAGCCAGTCTGTCGCCATGGTGGTGGATAGGTGAGGGAGGGAGTCAGGTGGCCGGGGAGTGTAGTCGGCGGCCGGTGGGCCGACGGCAGCGAGGGTAGGGCTCGTGCCAGCACGGATCAAGTTGCCGGGGTATGTTCACGCTTTTAACACCATCTAAACAGCAGATGGGCCAGAGATGCCGTCGATGTCGTCGGGGTAGAGCGGCTCGAACGGGTCGAGGTCGGCAAGCTGGTCCATGAACTGGAGCGGGGTGACAATGTCGGTGGAGCCGATGATGAGGTTAACATGGCGGAAGGCGGCGGCGATCTCGTAGGCGGCGCGCATCTCCGAGTACGACATGCCACCGGCAATAAAGATGACAAAGGTGTCCTGGGAGGTCGTGGAGGAGGTGGCGCCGTCGGCGTCAGCCTTGCCCTTGTCCTTGTTCTTGCGCTTGGCAGCCCACTTGGACTGACGGGTGCGGACCGACTTGCCACGGGCAGACGGAGCCGAGGCGCCCGTGGCGACGGCATCGGGAAGCGAGCCTGCGACGGTGGGCCAGGCCTGCTCGTCGAGCGAGCCGGAGACCAGGTCGTGCATGACGGCTTTGAGCGCCGGGGTGAAGCGCGAGAGCTCGTAGCCAACGTCCTCGTCGGCAGCGGCGCGGCGGCGCGACTTCTTCTTCTTCTTCTTCTTGGCCTTGCGACGCGACGGCATGGACTGGACCTGAACTTGCAGATGGGTGAGATTGGAGACCATGTTCTGGTCTGCGGGCGAGATACGGGCCTTTTCCATAAGCTTGGCCCGCTCGGCGGGTCGGATGCCCTCCTGCGAGATGATGTAGATGAGAAGAAGGCGCTTCTTGTCATGGATAGAGATGGCTGGGTCCTGCAGCAGCGGGAGCAGAGCCGACATGACTTCAGAGACTGGCTGGCCGTTGGCGTCCTCGCCTAGCGCCATGTCCTGCTCGACGCCGATGACGGCCTCGAGATTGCGCTCGTTGAAGACCGCAAGATTGTCTTGGCACACCTGAATGTGCAGCGCGTACTTGGACAGGAGCTCCTGGTACTGCGGAAGGGCGCGGATGGCGGCCGACATGTCGCGGAGTGAGTCCATCCGCTGGCCACGGGCCTGGGCCGCGCGGTTCGAGCGCAGAAAGTCTGCAAACTGGGCCTGGACCCAGTCGATGGCGTCCTTGATGTGCATGTGCCGGAGCGAGATCCACAGTGGGTCCGACTCGTCGAGCAGCACCGTCTTGCTCTGCTTGGCACCCGAGCCATCGGTGTACTTGTACTCGTACTTGGCGCCGTCGAGCGGGAGCAGGTCGTAGCACATGGCTTGGTACGTCAGCTCGTGCAGCAGTGGCGCCAGAACATCGACCGACCGGTCGACAATGAGAATGACCGGCGCGGCGACGCCTTGCCCTCCGCTGGCAAACAGCGGGGCGGCCTTGTCGGCGTTGACCTGCTCGACGAGCGCCTGGCCGATCAGCCGCGCCAGCGGCGAGCCACCAGCGTAGCGGACAACCGGCTTGACGCCGAGAGTGGCAGCGACGCCCAAGAGCTTGGCTCCAAGCTCTGCCGCGTGCTTGCGCCGCTTGCGCGACGAGACCGCAGCGGGTGCAAAGGCCGAGTACAGGCCCGACGGCATGTCGAGGGTAAAGACGTTTGCCTCGGGAACAAGGAACTCGGACGGCAGCTCCTTGAGGGTCTTGATGCGCTTGGCCAGACGTGAGGCGGCAATGAGAGCCATGAGGTCGTCGGGCAGGTGGGCGATCAAGTAGACGTGGGCATCGCCGTACTTGCGTGACTTCGACGAGGCATAGTCCTCGAGCATGGCTTCCACCGATGACCTGGTAGGGGCAATCATGTAGAGAGCCTCCATAGACCGAAGCGGCTGGCGTGAGAGCTCGAGCTTCTCCACCAGAGTCACACCCTCTTCCATCAAGTCAAAGACTCTCAGTGCCGAGGAGAGTACCCGCAGTGCAAGGTTGTCCACCACCATGACCTTGAGCTCCGACGAGACAGAGAACGCCTCACGAATGACCCCATTGAGAAGTCGGACAGAGGCCTGTCCACGGAACGTCCCGCTGGACTGGCTTCCGGCGCCAGACATGAGGGTAGGGGGTGGAAGTAGGGTTGGAGGGTGGGAGTGGGGGGGGGGGGGGGCGATCGTTGGGTGGCGGGAGAAGGGGGGGCAGGGACAGGGGGGGACTGGTAGTGAGCGACGAGGCAATGAGTGATGATGGTGTATACATTTGCGTCAGGGGAGGAGGGGGGAGCTAGGCAGATATCGATGCGGCGTAGTCGGCGTAGAACTGCAGGAGATCGGGAGGGGTTCGCGGCGGGCCGAGGGCTGCCAGTCCGGCATCGAGGTGGGCGGCAGTGATGGGGATTGGCTTGGCGGCCGATGGAGCAAGACCTGAGGCTTGTGCGGCGTCAAGGACCTCAGCCAGTGCAGCAAGTGAGGCCTCTTTGACCAGATGAGCCACTTCGGCGCCTGTGTAACCGTCGAGGGCAGGCACCAGGGTCGTCGCTAGGTGATTTGCTACGTCGGCGGCGACAAGCGAGGCGTCGAGTTTGGCGAGCGCGTTGGTAATGATAGCGGCCCGGGCGGGAGCATCAGGCAGGCCGACATGCAGCACTCGGTCCATGCGTCCGGGCCGGAGGAGCGCGGCGTCGATCTTGTCCGGCCGATTGGTAGCCGCAACGACGACAACTGAGTGCAGCGCCTCGATACCGTCCATCTCGTGAAGGAGTTGAGCGAGAACCCGCTCCTGGACGGACGAACCGCCGCCGGCGGCGGAGCGCGAGGTGGCAAGCGCGTCGATCTCGTCAAAAAACACAATACACGGTGCGGCGGCCCGCGCCTTGCGAAACAGCGCCTGGACGGCCTTCTCCGACTCGCCCACCCACATATTGAACAGCTCGGGACCCTTAACAGCCACAAAGTTGAGCTCCGACTCTGTCGCAAGCGCCTTGGCCATCATGGTCTTGGAGCAGCCCGGCGGGCCATAGAGAAGCACGCCCTTGGGTGGGCGGATGCCGAGCCGCACAAACGCCTCGGGATGCCGCAGCGGCCACTCGACAGCTTCCTGCAGCGCCTGCTTGGCCTCGGCCTGGCCACCAATGTCGTCCCAGCGCACGTTAGGCACGTCCAACACGTGCTCGCGTAGCGCTGATGGCTTGACTTTGCCCAGCACCGCTGTAAAGTCGTCCATCCGCAACTGTGCAGAGCCGTGGAGCATGGCGTAGACACCGGCTTCGCGGAGGAGTGCGGCAAGGTCGGCACCCACAAATCCGTGCGTCTTGCTCGCCAGCCACTTGATGTCGGCAGGTGTCACCGCAGACACCCCGGCGTCAAGGGCGCCAAGGTGGGCGCTGAGAATGGCCTCCCGTCCGCTCGGCGACGGCACGCCGATCTCCAGCTCGCGGTCGAGTCGTCCCGGCCGGCGCATCGACGGGTCCAGCGCCGCCACCCGGTTGGTGGCAGCCACAAACAAGACTGCCGAGTCGCTTGCGTGCAGTTCGTCGAGCAGGCCCACCAGCGTGGACGTGATGCGCTTCTCCAGCTGCGTCAGCGTGCCCGACTCGCGGGACGGAGCAAGCGCGTCGATCTCATCCACAAAGATAACCGCCGGCCTGCAGGCGGCGCTAGCAGCGCTGAAAACTGCCGCCAGCTTGGCCTCAGTCTCGCCATAGTACTTGGAGAGCACTTCGGCACCGTCGACTACAAACAGCGTGACGCCTTCTTCGCGCGCCAGAGACCGCACCATTGCAGTCTTGCCGGTTCCCGGCGGGCCGTACAGGAGCACGCCCTTGGCCGGGCGGATTGTTGCATTGGTGCTCCCGGCAACCGCGCGCTGCAGCAGCTTGCGCACAACCTCAAGCTCGTCGTCGAGCCCGCCGACACGGAGCGCCGACGCCAGAACTTCCGCTGGTACCTCCTTGGGCACCCAGCCGTCCGAGCTTGCACCACTGCTGCCCTGAGAGCTGTCAAAGTCAACACGGCGGACGACGCCGGTCGCGGTAGCCAAATCCATGCTGACAATAGCCGTCCGCGACGAGACCTGATGCCACGAGCCAGAAGTCTCAGCATCATCGCCAAACAACGCAATTACCTCGACTGAGAGACTTTTTCCGCCCACGTACGTCTTGAACCACGAGCCTGGTCGCAAGATCCGATCAATGGCTTCGCCAAGAACAAGCGACGCTAGGGTGGCTGGCGGCACCTTGTCCCACAACGCAGCCGATGATCTGAGTTCGACCTCCATCCGCGTGGCCTCTGCCACAGCAATGAGCGCCGGACAAAGAGCAACTTGGGTGCCGTAGCTCAGCCCACCTGATCGCCGCGAGGACGAGTCCATGCACACACACCCGGCAGGCACATGCTTGGACGGCCACAGATGCACCAGGGCCTCGCTCGCGCTGTCCGCGCCATCAGCGCCATCAGTGCCATCAGCGCCATCAGCGCCGTCCGGACCATTGATGGCAGCCGCCACAGAAGGAGCGCGCACCAACATGACTCGAATACCGCCGACCCAGCCCCGAGCGCGCATGGCAGCCTTGTTCATCCAGGCCACCGATCGATGGGCGAGCTTGGGCTCGATGGCGTCGGGCATGCGGAGCACACTCAGTGTGAGCTCAGCATCAAACGAAGCCTGATCGGATGCGTGATCAGATGGCTCACTCAGAGGAGCTTTGCCTAGCGATTCATCGATGGCTTCACCAAACAGGGCATACAGTGCTAGCGGTGTGTCGTCGAGCGGACCCCGCGAGCGGCCTTGAGCCACCGGTGTGCCATAGTTGACCGGCGAGGTGACGGTCATCACGGTATGCCCTGTTCCCTCCCTGCCGCCCCTTGTCCGTTGCGGCGTCCTCGGCTTCCGTCGCCCCATCTCCAAAGTATGTCTTGTGTGCCCTGTCTCACTCTCTGGCGTGGAGTGTACCGTGTGGGTGTGGGGTGCGGGGGGGGGGGGGTAGGGGGGCGGGGAGGAAGGGGGATGATCCGATTGCTTTTGCTCAGCCTGGCCCGGCCAGCCTCGGTAGGCCACCGGCAGCGCTGCAGCACGCAAGATCAGTATGGATCAAAGCATTAGAGTGCTGAGCTAGCTGATCTAGGTGGCAGGGAAGCAAATCTTGGTTGAAGGAGTATAGGAGGGGGGATTCCCGCAAGGGGCTGATCCCTTTTGTTCAGCCCGGCCCGGGTCGATAGGCCACCGACAGTGCCGCAGCACGCAGGATCAACGCGTATCGGATCATTGTAGGTGCTGATAAATGCCCCGCTCTACCCCTCACCACCGAAACCTGCGGGATGGGAGTCTCCATCGGTGGCCAAAAGGGCAGCGACTCGCCTTGGCGAGCGGAGTGCGACATCTGTCGGAAGAAGGGAGAAACAGGCAGGCACGACCACCTCTGCCACCACCAGCCAGACAGCCAGCGCCAGCCAGCCAGCCAGGCTACTGACTGACAACACATCTCGCCGAATTTGTGCGTGTGCTTGTGTGCGTGTGTGTGTCGGCCATGGAGACGCGGAAAACGTTTGCTGAGGTTGTAGAGCGGCATGCAGAGCGGCTGAAGCAATGCCAGGCCCAAGGCGAGGTTCTGCTGCGAGGGTACGACCGCGGCGAGTCTGCCGTGGTTGCCCCTACTTGGCCTATGTTGCCGACGGTGACGAGGAGGCTCTGCTTGAGACACTGGTCCTGTTAGCTCAGCATGCCTGCCACCCTCGCACCCCACACTGGTTCCGCATCTCGCGTATCCGCAAGGAGATGGTCATCAAGCGTGCAAGAGCTGCGGCTGCTGCCAGATCGTCGGCTGCGGCTGCTGCCCCGCCCCGCTCCGCTACCGATCCATCTCCTACCCCTGCCACCGAGGCACCCCCTGCTGCGGCCGCCGATCCCAATCCATCTCCTGCTGCTGATGATGATGATCCTGACCCAACTGCTGCCACTTCTGATCTACCCCCTGCCGCTGCCGATGTCACGCCATCCCCCACTGCTTCGCACGCAGAGGCTACAGCACGAGATGCAAGCGGGGCAGACTCGGCCGAGGTCGAAGATCTCAACTTTAAGGAGCAAGAGCGACTGATGCGTGAGGCGCTGGCTGCTCACCCGACACCGTCAGAGACGGTGCTAGATGCCAACTGCGAAGCTCTGTTTGCTCACTACGTGACAAAGCACGGTGGCAGCGATGAGATCATGGGCCCCGCGGCAGTCGAGGAGTTTTGCTTCGACGTGGGTCTTCTGCCATCGGCACCCGAGGTACTGTCGATTGCAGCCAACATGGGCGCGAGCCGAATGGGCTACTTCTCGCGGAGTGAGTTTGTGGCCGGCCTGGAGCGAATGGGTGTGCGGGCGCTGCGCGAGCTGCGAGCGCCGGCTCAGCTGGCAAGGCTGGCACCGGCGGCGATGGATGCGGCAGAGTTTCGCAACCTGTACGCCTTTGCCCACGAGTTTGGTCGCGCGTCCAAGTCGCAGCGCAATGTAGGCAAGGATGTTGCATCCGCCATGCTCCAGCTGTTGTTCACCGGGCGGAGCGATGCAGCGCATGTGCCAACCTTTGTGGCCTTTCTGGCGTCGGATGCCTGCAAGGCGCGAGTGGTGACGCACGACGAGTGGCTCTGCTTTGCCGAATTTAACCAGCTTGCTGCGGCCGACGCCAGCAACTACACCGAGGACGGCATCGACGACGGCTCTTGGCCAGGCCTCATTGACGCGTACGTTGAGTGGCTGCGAGCTCGTGGCGACAGATGAAGCAGCAGAAGGGTCATGCCTGCGGCGGAAAGGTGCGTGGCGAAGAGGCTGTAGGTGATAGGACCGAGGATCGCGCAGCACGCGGCGTGGACGACGACGCGCTGATGATCTCGGTCTTTCCGAGATCGTGGTAGTCGATCTCGCGCTTGACGTAGAAGAGGAGGTAGGCCTCGGAGGCAAGGACCTCTTTGACGGTAGCAAGCGTGACGACCGCGTCGTCGCAGCGGAACCAGAGCTGCGACGCCGGGACGGCGGCGGCGCCGACCGTTGGCGCCGGAACGCGTACGTAGGCAATGTAGTGTCCGGCGTCGATGGAGCCAATGTGGACGACGACGGCAAAAGCTCGTACTCGTACATGTCGAGCGAAGGCGGAGCGCGGGCCTCGCCAGTCGGGGCTGTCGAGCTCGGCGCCTGCTGTGGTGAAGGCGTGGTCGAACCGGATTGCGACTCACGGGCCACATACGGGGCCATGTCGAGGACCAGTGGGAACGAGACAAAGTCCGAGAGCTTGACAGAAGAGCCTGTGGCGGTTCCTCCATGCGATTCAAAGCGCTTGAGATGGATAGCAAGAGTAAGCGGCAGCTCTTGGAACTGCAACCGCTTGGTAAACGGCCGCTTGCCCTCGGGCGCGCACGCGCGGCACGGAAGCTCGACGCTCAGCCGCTCTGACGAAGTAAAGTTGAGCAGGCACTGTTCGAGCGCCTTGACTTCGGACGAGATCTGGAGCGAAACGTCGACAAACGGGTCGTACGACGGCGACGAAGCCCCACACGAGAGGCAGACGAGCTTGGACGAGAGGATGCCGGAGAATACCGAGTGAACAACGCACGAACAGCGCGGTGCCGGCCGTGCCGGCAGCGGCACCGAAGCCACAGGCAGCGGAACCTGGTTGCGCGAGTGCGTGTGGATGCCGTCGAGGACCGAAATGAGGAACTCGTGCGCGTCCTGCTGCTCGTAGCCAGCGAGGTACTTGGAGTGGACCCAGATCGAGTGCAGAAACTCAGACGGGTTCATCGGCAGCGACGAACCCGAGAGAGTCTGCGTAAAAAGACTCACCATGTTGCACCCCAGGCACCGCTTCTTGGCCACGGTGCATTTGGTTGGATCGTGCAGGTGCGAGAGAAAGTATGCCCGAAGCAGCGGGTTGTGAAGAAGCGTCTGCAGGACACACGACATAAAGCACGAGTTGCCAAAGTTGTTGAGCCCGCGCAGCCCGCGCCGGCGCTTCTTGATCCGCATACCCACGTCGTCGACCTCAGACGCCTCGGCTGACGATGGCTCGCCGAGCGCGCGCTTGACACCGACCCGCTGCGAGGCTGCGGCCATGTCTTCAGCACTGACAAGCCACTCGGCCGAGTGGACGCGGAGATGGGCGGCGGGAACAGCCCACGAGCGGATGCGGGCGCGGGCGGCGAGGGTGCCTGCGGCCAGGGCGGCATCGATGGCGTTGTCGTAGACAAAGCGCGCACATGCAAAGCAAAAGACGGCATCAAAGTCGATGACAACCGCTAGGCTGTGGTCCGGGTGGGTGGCAGCGTGTGCGGCGGCATGGGCCCGGGAGCACGACATGGCCGGACAGTGGGCGCAGAGGTGCAGGCCGGCATCAAGAGGTGACTTCGGCAGGTGTTGGCCGCCATTGGTCTTGGTAGCGGCGGCAGCCGAGTCGCAGGCACGGCAGGACAGAGGTGCAGCTGCGCCATGGAGGACAAGACGACCAAGAGCAACGCCTGCGGTGAGGTCACCAAGGGCGGTCTTGTCGGCTGCGAGCTGGTTGGAATGGGCGCAGCCATTGCGAAGGGGAAGGGCATGGGCACAAACCGGGGGAGGCGCAGCCATGACTCACCACACTCAAACGGCTACAGACTGCGGAACAGCAGCAGAGCACAACTCACACGCGCTCAATTGCCTCTCCTGTCCTCTCTCTCTCTCTCTCTACACGTCTCTTTCTATCTCTCTCTCTCTCCCGCCTGTGCACTCGGAAGGTGGTCTTCGACTCGAGAGCGGTGGCGGAGTATGATGGCTCACCCCCCCCCTTGTGCCGGCCCGACCGATCAGCCAACTCGCTCGACCGACTGACAAGCACCACCCGCCAACATGCTCGATCCTTTCTCCACGTTACTCGATGCGCAACCAGGAGTTGTACTGTGCTGTGCAGCGTTGTTGCTCTTAACATTGACTGTGAGTTTAGCTGAGCGAGCCATTGGATGAGCCAACTGCTGGTTGTGGGCTTGAGACGGCCGGCTTGATCTGGGCGACACTGCCTGTGGTGGTATTCGCTTGGATGATGGGAAAGAGCGAATTAACGAGGTCGTGGGCAGGAATGACTCTCTTAGCTCTTTCGTCAAACAAGAGGTGGAGAGCGGCGACGACGAGGTCGGGCCGACGAGCGACAAGGGCAGCTTTGAGTGAGAAGAAGAAGACCGAGAACGGAATCGACGGGCCATGCCGGGCCCAGAGCGAGCAGAGTTCAGAGTTGTCCGAGTGATTGGCGAGGAGAACGCTCATGGGTGTGTTGAGCGAGACAAGAGCAAAGTCACGATGCCGCGGCTTGACTGAGCGGACTTCGGCGTCGGATCGAACGTAAGGCAAGATCTCCATGACCCAAATCTCGATGGGGAGGCCGGAGGCTCTGCAGAGCGCGGTCAGCGGGTTCTTACACAGCCGCGAGAGGAAGAGCAGCGACGGTGCAACCTCGCAGGTGTGCCACACGTCCGAAGCCAGGAATGGGATGAGCTGCGCATAGCGGTCGTCACCGTGCAGGCGGGCAAGGAGCGCGTTAAGATCGTGGCCATAGGCCCAGCGGAGCTGGAAGATACAGTAGACAACAACACATGCGTTGTTGAGCCCGAGAGTGACGTGCTGGCAGTTCCGATCATCAGCCCAAATCCACGTCGGCAGCGCGCGCGTCGAAGACGCGGAGCGGTCAAAGGTGGCGAGTAGGTCCCAGAGGAGTCGCGGCTTTTGGACAATGAACGCCGTGCTGATTTGGTTCTCGTTGGGCAGAACGCCAGCAGCAATGAGCAAGTTGAGCACATCGACCGACGACCGCTGGATGCACTCCTCCACCAACGGCACCATTTCCGAGTACAGCTTGAGGTTGATGCCAGCCCGAATAAACTCCTTGAGCACCTCGGTGTGGTGATGCCAGATGGTGAGGACAATCGGGTGGGTCTCGAGCGGCTCCGAGGCGGTGAAAAGCGCATTGGCGCCGGCCTCGAGCAGAAGCCGTGCGCACCGCGCAGCACCGACACGGGCTGCCGTGGCCAACGGTGTCAGCGACGATACCGTTGTCTCTTCAACAGAGAGCCGCCCATCCGCAAGAAGGAGCGCCAACACGTCCGGATTGTGTCCCGTGCATGCGGCGTGAAGCGCCGAGCCGCGCCCGCGCGAAGATTCGGATGCGGCGAGATCGCTGTCCGACAGGCTCTTGAGCAGCATACCAATCCAGGAAAGGTGCCCCTGGCGCGCGGCCATGTACAGGGCATCGGCGCCATCGGTGCGCCGCGCCACCAGCGATGCACCCCGATCGACCAGAAACTGGGCCATGTCCAGCGATCCAGTCTCGAGCGCGCGGACAAGCGGCGAGCAGCGGTCTCTGTCGGTTGGCCGCTCGATGACAGTCGACACGTCCACGCTCGCGTCCAAGTCCGCGAAAATAGCTTCCGCCAGTGGAAGATTTCCGGTGGTGGCAAGGCGATAAAAACCGGCTTGGCCCGAAGTTCGGCGGCGCTCAGCGGAGTTGGCCACAGAGGCTGACTGCGCAGCACCGCATACAGTTCGAGATGAGCGGCTGCGCGCTCGGCGAGCGAGAGAAAGGTGACGGCTTCACCACGGCGGACCACCCGCGGGGCCAGCGGCGCCATGACCAGGGTAGCAAGGCCTGCCACAAGTGCCTGTCGTGAGATGTCAGCCCCTTTTTCCTTGCCGCCCGTGATGTCATGCACCTCATTGAAGATAAAGGCAACGACTTCCTGGTGAGCGTGCTTGAGTGCTGCCCGCAACGCCAATGGCATCCACGCAGCGTCGACTGTCTTGCGGGATACGCACGCCCTCTCAACCACGTTGAAGGTGCGCGTAGCTGTGCGCCGCGCACGATTTTGAAGAACAGCGCGCATGGCAGTCACGTTGTTCACCGACGCGGCAAGAACCATCGGGTCCAGCCCGCCACACCAGGCCCACGGCAGATGTCCTGCATCGAGAAGCATTTGAACCATCTCGGGGTGCTGCTGTTGGATGGCGAGGTTGAGCGGGGTCCACTTGCGGAAGAACGGGATTGAGACCTGCATGCCAAGTACATCGTTGATGTCATCAGCGCCAATGGGGACACTGACCGACGTGAGCTCGTTGGGGGAGATTGTGATGCGAGCGACAATCGAATTGGGATCGGTGTCGCTGCGCGAGATCCACGGATTCTTATCCTCGTGCAGCAGGGCCTTGATCTGGCCGAGAAGCCATCCGAGCATCTCGGTGTCACCAGCACCAGCCAGTGTATGCACCATCGGGTACGGTGAGGCATTGACCATGCGTGAAACAAAGAGCGACAAAGGAGCATGACGGACAGTGTTGGTCAACGCGGCCATGCGTGAGTCTTTGGACCCGCTCACGTCCTTGGAGAAGACCCGCGACAGCTTCTCCTTCCGGCTTGTCATCTGAGCTCCGATCTTGGTCAACTTCTCTACTTTGCGCCCCGAGCCCGGGACGCCCTGCTCTTTGTCGCCGCTCGCATCGGCCGCATTGGCAGCCTCCTCGCCGTCGTCCGAGTTTGAATCTTGCTCGACCGACGGATGCAACAGCACGCTGGCAAGTGAAAACGCCCTTGCCCCAGAGCCCTTCTTTTTCTTGCCACCCGATCTGGCGCGCGAGCTCTCGGCCTTGGCAGCCTTGGCCGGCGCAAGCCAGTCAACTGCGGCGTCGATGTATGGCGAGAGGACCGAGGACGACGAACCTGCACCATCCGCGGCCGTGGTCTCACTTGGCACAGCCTCAGACTTGAACAGTGAAGCCAGTGAGAGGTGGCTGCGGCTGAGTGGCTGCGGCGGGCAGACAAGCGCGCCGTAGCGAAGTATGGTGTCGATCTGGTCCGACCGAGTTCCCCAGTCGGTGCAGTACGACGAGACCGCCACCGCCACAGGATCGCCAGCTTTGTACGCCTCGGCCACAATGTCGTGAAGATCGACCGGAATGTTGTACAAGAAGAGCTTCTCTGCAATCCTATCAAAATCACGTCACGCACATCGCACGGCCTGCGTGAGTGTTCAAAATGACGATTTGCTTCTGTTTCAATTGAAAGATAGGCAGAAATGTCGGCTTGGAAGACCATTGCCAAGACACGCACACACACACACACACACACACACACGCATAGACGCATGCAGCCTCCAAGCCCGGCCGTACTCAAAGTGAGGAATCAGTTCGCGCGAGTTTGATTCCGTCGGCTTGCCCTGGACCTTGTCAGTGCCCGACTCCCTCCGTCGAGGAAGCCATCGGTCGTGCGAGGTCATGAACTACACAGCCAGTTCAGCCCTTCTTCGTCTAAGTTGGCTTCCTCTTGGTTGCGTGTTGCTGGTGTTGGTGTAGTCACGTAGATACCGAGTCGAGTAACAACATATCGTTCTTGTCTGCCTTTGCTCAGCAACTGACGGATGCTGGAATGTCACGGGCGACTGGCGAGCGAGACCACAGTGACGAAAGCTGCAACATCATCGGATCGGTACGGCAGCCGTGAGTGTTGAGTTTTACATTAGCTTGCCACAGCTGTAGTCGCTGCTGACCCGGCCTTCAAGGAACGGGTGCGGCGGGAACAGAGGGGAGGGGGGGTGATTCTGGGTCTACCGACCCCCTGACGGCGGCTAGGTCGATGATGAGCCAGCTGGCGACGACTCTGCTGACGACGACCCCACCGCCGCCCGAGCCGGTGATCCATCGGGCGAGAGCGGAGGAGAGTCAGTTGCCAAGACGGTCTTCTCCCGCCCAAGGCACCACAAGCGAACGTTCTCCTTCGAGCTAAGCTCCTCAATGGCAACTGCCAAAGCTGACCTCGCCGACGAGGCATCGTCCACATTCACCAGGGTCTCGGTCACCTTTTTCCAGACCGTCCGATTGTCCTTTGAATCGCAGGAGTACAGCTTCATGACCCCGCCCGCGCCCACAACGTCGTGCCACGCGTAGCCAGTAGGGGTCTCGTTTTTGGCCACAGCATCCATGACCGACTCGACACGCATGCCGTCGGTGACCCAATTGAACCCAACCGGATACACAGCCTCTCCAGACACGCCGGCCAGATCCCAGTCGATGATGTGTGTCTTCCCGTCGGCCCCAAACACCAAGTTGGCGTCGCGGATGTCGAGGTGGGCCACTCCGTCGTTGTCCATGCATTGGAGAGTTTTGAACAGCGACACAAAGTGCGCCACCGTCACGTCGGCCACTGCAGGCACCAGACGCATGACTAGTCCGTATTCGCGGTACCAGCGTCCGTCGCTGCCCAGCACCCGCTTGCCAGGCATACCTCCGCTGTTGGCTGCAGCACGGAGATCATTGCAGGCTGCCTGCATCGCCCAAATGTCGTTGTCGGTTCCCTGCTGCTCTGATATCAGGTTCTCCAGGCTCGCCAGCAGCTCGTCCCGGTCCGACGGCAGCGCTTCTCTGCTTGCACCCGCACCTTGCGCCGCCGCCTTGGCTCGGCCGACAAGGTATGCCATGCCCATGTCAGTCATCGCCTCCTCGGTCTCGTCGTCCACCACAGCCTGGTACAGGCCGGTCACAAACACGTCGCTTGCGTACTTGCGCCAAAGATGCTCGTTGATCGAACGGGTCTTCGAGCCGTCAAACGCTTTGTACACCATCTTACCCTCTGTGGACAGCACTTTCGACACGTTCTTCACCCCGTCGCCCCCATCCCCGCCCACGGCATGGCGCTCGGATGCCACATGCGCCGCTGCAAACATCGCCAGCGAAAATTGGCTCACCTTGCGCATGAACCAATCAAACTTTTCGTCGTCTTCCAGCTCCGCCGGCGCCTCCAGCGCTCGCACCAGCTCGACGCAGTCCAGAACCAGCTCGGTGTGCTCAACAGGCTCATCGTCGGTGGCCTTGGCCTTAAGCGCGCGGCACTTTTCAGCCTGGAGCACATAGCCGTCGACTGCCATTTTCGTCCGCACCTGCAGAGCTTTGTTGGCCCGCGTCGGGTACTCGGACCGCAGCGCCACGAGCGCCATTGTGTGCGGAAAGCCCGCTGAGGCCCGCGTGAGGTTGTGCGCGTAGCCGTAGGCCTGCTTCCTCTTGTGCATGGTGATCGGACACTGGGCCGATTTGGGATCGAATCCAGGCTCCCACAGTCCCAATGGCAGCACCATGTCGTTCTCCTCAAACGTAAACAGCACATCCACCTTGGTGCTGAGCTGGGTGTCAACTGGTCTCACCCCGTCCCAACCTTGCCCATGTGAGACCGCAATCTCCCGCCCAATGTTCATCCGGGCTGCGCTGCTGTACAGCCCGGACGTCTGCGGCTCGTGGCTACGTGACGAAGAGCTTGCGGTTCGCTTCGCACGTGCACGGTCCGTGTGGCTCGGGTTGGTCTTGACAGGTGACGCCACAGAGAATGTGCTTTGAGAGCTGGACGAGTGGAACCCAGCCCGTGTCCCTTGCTGGTTGGCAAAGACGTGACCCAGACCCTCGCACACTCGATGAGTCAACGATGACTCGAGCGCTGCCACGCCAACCGAGCCTCTGTAGAACGACTGGACCTTGTGGTTGTTGCTGAGCCCCCGAAACAGCGGTAAGGTAGCCTTGATGAGCTCGTGGCAGACTACGGTGCTTCCGATCGTGTTCGCCTTACGCAGGCCAGATGCCACAAAGCCTGTCCACGCATCCGGGATGTCATCCAGATGCTGCACTTCCAGTGAGGCCGTGCCGCTGGTCCCAAGAGAGAGCACACCCATCACCACTTCACCCATCAGCATTGGCGCAAGAAGAAGCTCGGGCGAGGCAACCCAGCGGCTACCGGTCGGCACAACGCCCGCAAAGTGTTTGGCCCGCACTGGCTTCAAGTACGGCACCTCGAGTCTCGACGTCGGGGACACCTGTGACACCGCCTTGAGCTCCGCAATCTCGGCATCCTTGTCCGCAATCTCGGCATCCTTGTCCGCAATCTCGGCATCCTTGTCCGCAATCTCGGCATCCTTGTCCGCAATCTGCGCTTCCAGCTCAGCCTTGGCCTGAGCCTCCCGCGCTGCAGTAGTGAGCATGAAGTCCACAAATCCAGCCACGGACAGGCTGGCCGCAAAGTTGTGACTCAGACACGAGCTGGCAACCTCAATCCAATCATCCCTAGACAGGGTCACTCCCTCGACCTCCGAAGCCGCCCGCTTCTCACAAAACGCCACCAGAGCATCCTTGACCGTGTCGATCTCCTCCGTCTCGGCAGTCACGCCACAGTCTGCCGCAAGCATAGCTTGCCAAAGAGAAGGGGAGAGCCCACGCAAACCTGCAGCCTGCAGCTTGTCTAGCGAGTCCCGATTCGGCGCATCAGCACTCATCCCGACTAGTATGTTCGCGAGGTGAGTGTGCGACGTCGAGCGCGTGCGCTCCGGAAAAGGTCGTGAACCACATTCGCCGGCCTTGTGACAGCTACCACGATCGATCGCCATTCGGGTCAAAGCCCCACGCCCGGCCCGGCTGGCCATGAGCCACGACATTGAAGCTATGCGCTGCGCTGCATATGTATGGGAGGATGACAGCACATGCAAGGGTATGCGTATGAAAGGGGAGGAGGAGGAGGGGGGAGGGGGGGTAGAATGTAGAACGGCTTGCCCACGCTCTCGCGCTTGGCGCGGTGTGCCATGCGCCCTCGTCCCACTCTAGGGATGCGTTGCACTACGTTGCGCCGCACCCTCCGCTATGGGTTGCTTACTCTGGGATGGAGCCCCCTTCGCGGCGAGGGAAGTGCTGGTGGTGCTGGCGCTGGTGCCGCCGGCCAAAGACAGAACGAGCCGCCAGGGGAGTCCGCCACTCGCTCCGGCTGCTGATCAACTCGTTCGGCCTCGACACGAGGCCACAGCGGACGGTGTCGGTGGCATAACAGGCGGGTGCAGGACACTTGACCGACAAAGTCAAGGTTGCGGCTTGTGGAACGTGGGAAGAGGGCCAGAAGGTGCTTCGCGCTCAAAGGCGGTCAAGCAGATCAAGCAGGTCGAGCCAGTCGAGCACGACAGGCGGCGACATGGCGGCGATGGACGAGGCGATGGTCAAGATGGCGGCAGAGCCACCGACAATGGCAGAGACCGCCGGGGGAGGTGACGGCGTGGGAGGGGCGAACGGCGGTCACGGCGAGCACGAGTCAGACTCGGAGTGGATCCAGCTCAACGTGGGTGGAACGATGTTTGCGACGACGAGGACAACGCTGCGGATGGAGCCGTCGTCGATGCTGGCGGCGCTGGCGTCGGGCGAGTGGGTGTCGACCAAGGACGAGACCGGAGCCATTCTGCTGGATCGAGATCCAGCGTTCTTTGGGCCGATTCTCAACTACCTCCGCATGGGTAAGCTCATTGTCTCGCCCAGCATATCGTACAAGGGCGTTCTAGAAGAGGCCAAGTTCTTCGACCTTCCGTCGCTGGTAGCGCTGCTCTCGCCGTTGAGCGAGTCAAAGGGCGAGGCGCAGCGCAAGCATGTGACGACGTACACGACGATCAAGCACACAACGCGATCACACGATTCCCAGTTTCAGTACTCGGTGTACCCCATTCTGGTCAAGGGTCCGATCGAGCCGGCAGCCATGTCGTTTCTCAATGGCGGCACATACCCGCCAGCGGTGCGGGTCTTTCCGGCGTCGACAGTGTACGGCGATCCGCGCGAGGGCTGGTACATCAAGAACCACTCGCTGGCTGACGTGTTCAACACGGCGGCCGCGTGGGGCTGGGAGCTGATGACGTCTTCGGGTGATGGGTCTGGCGGCTCGTGGGGTCAAGAATCGTCGCACATCTTTGTTTTTCGCAAGGTCATCAGCGTGGGAGCCGATCCGCATGTGGCAGCTGCTGTGGCAGCTGCACACGCAGCCGAGCCGCCAACAAGCCCATCACACCACGAGCGGACGTGGTCAAGCGGCTCGGCGAGCTCAGCGCGGGCACGCGGGGAAAGGCAAAGCCCTGCACGTCCGGCGCGGTCGCGGCGTGCGGGACAGCTGGCCGTCTCGTCGCGGCCAATCACCGGGGTAGAAGTTGTGTCCATCACAGACGAGACGCACACCGAGCCCGAGCTGGACTCGTCGTCGTCATCATAAGACATGGCATGGGGGGCATGATGATTTAGGGAGCCGGAATCGGCGCAATGCCCTTGCGATCCTCCTCTTGGGCGATGACCTAGTCTGCACCTGCGGAGGGCGACAGCGGCGCAGTAGCTAGCCTGGCCGATCGAGATGGAGAAGACAACTTTCTCGACCACAGCGTCGGGATCGGTCGCGATCATTACAGCAAGGAAGCGGACAAACGGAAGAGTAGCCTCGAGTGTGGCGATGGCGTCCGCAGCAAAGTTGGAGTCTGGAAGTGGCTCACGGCGAACTCATTCAGCAATCGATAGACTCCGGCCATGGTGCCGCCGTCACAACCCCCTCCCCATTCCTCCCCCTTCGCCTCCGCCACATAATCCGCACCATACCAGCAAGGGCAAGCAAGGGCAATCATGTCTCAATGAATAACATGAGTGAATGTGTTGGCGGGTTGGTGATGGCGAGGCGGTGACAGGTAGTGCCGAACTGGACGTCGTTCTTGGCCAGGGACTGATTGAAGGGTGTGTGTGGGGAGGTGGCTGACTTTGGGGGTAAGAGCGTACGGCTCTCTCAGCGGCCTGACATGGATCGCTATGACATTGTCCAGACCATTGGCCAGGTAAGTTGAAGTAGTGGTGTACATGAAGGTGTATGAGTGTGGCTTCCTTTCCTGTCTTTAGCTGGCCTTGCCTGTCCCCTCTCCCTTTCTCCTTGGGCGAACCGTTCCGCCGCGAGAGGAGGCCACAGACGTTTTTTTGCTGCCCGACCTGCGGCTAGCCACCGGAGGGACCTACGGCTAGCATGCTGCGGCAGGGAGATATTGCTTGCACAAGGGACATCATGCATTCAGTATGAAGCTTCTTGCTCTTTCTCCCTGTTTGAAAGCCATTTAAAGCTTAGGCTGCGCCTGTATAAGCACGGCTGGCTGTTGACGGAAGGATCGTCGAAGGTTGGTCGGGTGCCACCAGAAGGGACGCCCCAGGCCGGGGAGGCAGGGGGGTTAGGTGAGGTTGGGTGTGCGTTGGTGCGTGTGTGTGCGTGAAGAAAGACTATGGTTAGCTACTCACTCTCCGCGGCTGGCTTGTGGTGGTATTGTATGCTGGTTACGATAGGGCGCGTCTGGCACTGCGTTTGTGGTGCGGGAGAAGGACAACGCTCAAGGCAAGCTCCTCTGCATCAAGCAAATGACCACATCCACGTTCAACGAGCGCGAGCAACGTAGGTGACCCGGAGAGTGACTGCAGTGACCGGTGTGTGTGTGTGTGTGTGTGTGTGTGTGTGTGTGTGTGTGTGTGTGTGTGTGTGTGTGTGTGTGTGTGTGTCTGTGCGCGTGTGTTTGTGTGTGCCTCGCTATACGGGGCTCGACGCGGGCTCGGCACAGCTGTGCTGGGCGTGGGAAGCAGGCACTCGCGCGGGACTCACATGGGGTACCTGATGGGGGTGATGCAGAGAACGCCATCAACGAAATCAAGGTGATGAAGCAGCTGGACAACCCGTTTATTGTGGCGTACCACGATTCGTTTGAGGAGGGCGAGCACTTGCACATTGTGATGGAGTACGCAGGGGCGGCGACTTGCAAAAGGCGCTCGACGAGCGCAATGGTGAGTACCTGGACGAGGAGCAGATTCTGGACTGGTTCTGCCAGCTTTGCCTGGCTGTCAAGCACTGCCACGACCGCCGTATTCTGCACCGCGATCTCAAGACGGAGAACATCTTCCTTTCGGAGGACAAACAGATCAAGCTCGGTGATTTTGGACTTGTGCGGACGCTGCAGTCATCGATGGACATGGCTCGGACTGCGGCCGGGACACCGTACTACCTCTCGCCGGAGATCTGCAACGGTGAGACGTACAACTCCAAGTCCGACGTGTGGGCGCTGGGTTGTGTGCTGTACAAGCTGCTTACGTTCCGGCACGCGTTCCAGACCGACTCACTCCCGGTTCTCATCCGCAAGATTGTGTCCGGCGACTACGCGCCGATCCCGCGGACGTTCTCGTCCAAGGTCCGCGCCCTTGTTGACTGGATCTTTACCTCGAATCCGGAGGAGCGGCCGTCGGTGTACGAAATTTTGCTCAACACCCCGTTCCTCAAGTCGCGGATCCCCAAGTTCCTCTCGGACGAGCAGATCCAGATCGAGTTTGGCAGCGAGTATCAGATTCTCGACGACCTGCAGGAGGACGAGCACTCAGACCTCTGGGTCTCGTTCTCCTCGTCAGACGACCCGAACGCACCCGACGCCGCCCCGCGCTCGTCGCGCTCGTCACTGCACGGCAAGGACAAGTCCAAGTCCAAGTCCAAGGACAAGTCCAAATCCAAGTCCAAGTCCAAGGACAAGTCCAAGTCCAAGTCCAAGTCCAAGGACAAGTCCAAGTCCAAGTCCAAGGCTAAGGAAAAGTCCAAGTCCAAGGACAAGTCGTCGCGCCCGAGCTCGCGCCGTGGCGACCGCTCATCGCACCGCTCGTTGCGCCGTGAGCCGTCGGGCTCGTCCGAGTCGCGCTCGCGCTCGCGCTCGCGCCACGGTTCGCACCGCGGCTCGTCGTCACGCCATAGTTCGCGTCCGTCATCACGGGCCCACGACCGTGAGCTCGAACGCTCCTCCTCCCGCCGCGGCGGCAAGACAAGGACAAGTCCAAGGCCAAGTCCAAGGCCAAGGACAAGGAGAAGTCGCGTTCCGGCTCACGCCGAGGCGACAACGGCGAGCGGTCACGCTCACGATCCCGTAGCCACCGCTGATGTGTGGTTAAGCCACGGCCACCGCAGTGTGTGGTGCTGTTGATTGAAGCGAGCGTTGCGCTGCTAGGTTGGGAGAGAAGGGGAGTGCAGATGGCGGCGCCATTTACCCGCACTGCGGCAGTGTGTGGCAACCTGGTCTCGTGCGTCATCGTAGCTGGAGAGGCGGCGGAATCGCAGCAGGCCCATTGTCCGGCGAAGGGACCGCGGTCGAGCCCATCGAGTGCGGGATCGAGTGGTCAAGCTCGGCAGCGTGGAGGTGTTGCTCGGCCTCGACGTGACCAGCCGAGTGTCCGGCGTGGGCGCGGACCATCGAGGCAAGTGTGCAGGCTAGACCAGCGGACACAACCACAGCCATGGCGGCGATGAGCAAGCCCAACCCGACGGAGGCGTCGACCAGGATCAGCCCTGGACACGCACGCACACTCCGCCAACCGAGCTCGCGCGGAAGGCACACCAACACCGCAACAGCCAGGCTCAGCGCAACAAGCCCCAGCGCTCCTCCAGCCCATGCGAGTGTCGTGATGGCTCTCACACGGGAGGCGCCGAGCCAGGGCCATTCGCTCCGGCCGCTCCTGCCAAGCACAGCAGCTGCGGTCGGCGGGACAAGCTGCGCGCCCCGTCCGCGGAGGGTGCACGGCCACGGTAGGAGCGACATGTTGAGCAGTGGCGGGATAAAGGCTGCTGATACCGCTGCCATGCCTGTCGATGCCACCAATGTCTGGCTGGTGACAAAGTGGCGGACAGGGCCACATCCGCGTCCGCCGGCCAGCTGAGCGCCCGAGACCGCGCCGGCAGCAGCGCCGCACGCCATCATCATCGCCACAGCCACCACCCGCCACCGCCGTCGTCCTCGCCCGCCGGCCCTCCTCCTCACCACATCGAGCCATGCCTCCTCCAACCGTGCCCTCCGCTCGCTGCGGGAATGGAGGCCCTCAACGAGCAGTGGCCTTGTCTCGGCAGCAGCCGGTGATGAGTGCTGAGCGGTGGCAAGGACGTGCACCAGCTGCGGCGGTGGGAGCGTAGCCAATGAGAACGGGGCAAAGAGATGATGCGAGGTGATCTTTGGTGGAAAGGTCTGATCCGGTAGCGCAAGGCTCATCGGCGGCGAGATCGGAGCCAGCGGCGGCAAGATAGGTGGCACCGTTGAGCGCGAGCGCACCGTGCTGTCCATGAGCTTACGCCCTCCCCCGCGACCGCCGTCGGCCACAAGCTCGTGATACGAGAGTCGGAGGAGAGGGGAGGGGGTACGTAGAAACGAGGTGTAGCCAAGTATTGGAGGACAAAGTGGTTGGGCAAGGGAGGGGGGGTCTTGCGTGGGGTTTGGAGAAGACTTGCCGTATCACCCCCTTTCCCTCTTCACGGTCGCCACTTGAATCAGGGACGGCCATCAGCGGCGGCCCCAGCGCTGGCCAAGGCGCCGATCATTGAGTGCCTTTAGCAGATGATCGATGAGCCGCACATGGCCTCTGCGGCTGCCCCCCCCCCCCCCCCCTCCCCGCCTTGTTGACCAATGGTAATGGTAATGGTAACGGTATTGTCAATGGCAATGGCAATGGCCAAAGGCAGGCGGAGCAAAACGATCCCCCCCTCCCCTCAGGGCGGAAGGGGCAACTGCCATTGGCAGTGTTACCTCCCCCCCCCGTGCCTCCCCCCCCCTCCCCCCCACCGCCCCAACATCCACACTCACCCTCACTCCACTACCTCCCACGAATGGCTTCTCCGTTCAGAGCAGGGGGCTCGTTGTGGACAGAGGGCTCGTTCTCCTTGCCGTCGATGTCCTCGCCCGTCCCGCACCTCCTCGCCTCGTCGTTGGCAGCTGACTCTGCCACACGCGCCTCGCCATCGTCGGCTGTGCGGAACTCACGTCCGGCAGGTTCATCGACTGACGACATGATGGCGGAGCTCACAGCTTTGCGGGATGCTCACTTTTCGGCAAAGCTTGAGATTCGCATGCTGCAGGATGCGCTCGCTGGCAGGCTGCCATCCGAGGCTGCGGCCGTGACGTCGGAGATGGTCGAGCTGCGGGTGGCCGTCGCCAGGCTGCAACGTGAGCTCGAGCAGAAGAACGATCTGCTCTCCAAGTCTAAGACTGCCATTGCCTCACTCAACGCCAACGCCGACGTTGCTGCCGCAAAGGTCAAGCTCGCCTCGGCGGCCGACAACCAGATCGCGTCGCTCAACGTCACCGTAGGCGAGTTGAAGGACGTTGTCAATGCTCAGGCTGCGCGCATCGCCGCGTTTGAGGCTGCGGAAGCTGCTGCCGACAATGAGACTGGTGCGCTCAACACCCGTGTCACCGAGCTCACCATGCAGGTGGCCTATCTCGAGGCCCAGGTTGCCGACGCACGCACCTCGGCTGACGCCGCCTCGGCAAACTTCTCCGCCGCCGCCGCCCAACTCGCCGGGGTGCAGGCCGATCTGGAGCGTGCGGCCGGCGAACTCGACGAAGCCCGCCTCTCACTCGAGATGACCAAGGCCGAGAACAGCCACCTGGTGCGCGAGCTCGACGCCGCGCGTGCTGTCATTGACGAGCTCAACTCGCAGCTCGGCGACGTCGGCGCCCGCGACTCGTCACTCCTCTCCGCCACCAACTCCCTCCGCTCGGCGCTTCTTGCTGCCCAGGCCGAGTTTGCCACTGAGCTTGAGCGCGCCCGTGAAGAGTCGGCCACCGCCGCCGGCGCCGCCTCGCTCCGCATTGCCGCCCTCGACGCCGAGCTGGAGGAGGCTAAGGCTTCCGCCGCTGCCACCGCTGCAGAGCTCGCAACGTCGACGCAGGCGCTGGACCAAGCCAACGCCCTCATTGCCAAGCTCGAGCGTGAAATCTCCACAAAGGTCGACGCGCTGGCGCAGGCCGAGGACTCGATTGGTGACATGGCGCAGGTTCACAACGCTACGCTCGCCGTGCTCCGCTCCGAAATCAGTGCTCTCGCCGACGCTCATGCCCAGGAGCTCGCCGACGAGCGCCGGACAGCCTCGTCTGCCGCCGCCGCCGCCGCCGCACGTCACGCCGATGCCCTCCATGCCCTAGAGGCTCGGCTCGGCGCAGAAGCTTCCGACACCGCCGACGAACTGGACGCCGAGTACTCAGCCCGGCTTGCTGAGCTTGCCGAGGCCAAGGATGACCTTGAGGCAGAGTACAAGACCCACCTCGAGCAGCTTCGCGCCGATGCCGTCCGCATGACCACTCAGCATGAGGCCCAATGCCGCGAGCTGCAGTCCCAGCTCGACGATGCACGCTCTGACTCGGTCACTGTTGCCGCCAGCGCAGCCGCCGACCTCGAGGCCCGCAACGACATCCTTGGCAACGTCGCCGCCGCGCTCGGTGTGCTTGTCGGCTCAGCGCCAGCACCGACGCTTCGGTCCGCCCACGGCGCAGAGTCCAACCTGCCTATTCTTCGTGAGCAGCTCTCCAACGACCTTGATGCGCTCCGCGAGATCCTGGACCACGGGCGAGATATCGAGGCCAAGGCTGCGCAGGTCGACGAGTACGCCACTGCGCTCGACCGCGCCCGCACGCACGCTGCCGAGCTCGAGACCCAGCTGGAGCGGACCCAGCACGCACTCGACACAGCATCGCTTGATCGCGAGGCCCTGCTCGCCGAGAACGCGTCGGCCATCGAGACCATCCACGCCCTCAACGTGTCTGCCGAGGCGCTCTCGTCCGAGAACGCTGACCTGCGCGCGACCGCTTCCGCCACTACTGTCCTGCAGGACCAGCTCAACAGTTCGTCGGCGGCACTGATGGTGTCCAACACCTCGCGCCATGAACTGGAGCTCAAGGTGCTCTCAGCCGAGGCGCTCGAGGCGCAGCTCGAAGCAACCAAGGATGAGCTGGCAGCCGTGAGTGCCAAGCTCGAGGACGCCCGCAGTGCGCACGAGGCCCAGCGTGAGGAGGCCCTTGCGCTCAAGGAGGACAACGCGCTGCTCCGGGCTCAGGTTGGGAGCATGGCAGCCGCCAACGAGGCGCTTGAGAACCGCGAGTCCGAGCTTGCCGCCGCCCTCCACACCACTCGCGGCGAGGTCGCCGCACGGGCGACGCTCGCCGACGATCTCAGCCACGAGAACTCCCGCCTCCGCAAGGAGCTGGACGAGGCTGCCGCCACCAAAATGGGGCTTGCCCGGGCCGAAACCAAGCTCGAGGCAACGTCCGCGAGCCTTGCCGAGGCCCGCGAAGAGATCATTAGCCTCAAGGCCGAGCTTGCCAACGCAGAGTTCAAGTTCCGCTCGCGGACCCAGAACGAGCTCATCGAAGAGACTAATCGGGCGCTTCAGGAGCGCAACCGTGCGCTAGCCTCCAAGCTCGACTCGGAGCACGGGCGGGCGGTGCACATGGAGCGGATGCGAACGGATGTCGAGGAGCTACGAGTCAAGCTTGTCGAGGCCGAGTCACGAGCCTCTCTGTTCAAGGCCGAGCTTGACTCGGTCAAGGGCGCGCTCTCGGCGGTGCGGCAGGAAAAGTCGGCGCTGGCGGCGCGAGTTGACTCCACCAATGACTCGACGCTGGAGCTGACCCGGATCCGGGCTGAGCTTGCCCGCAAGGACGACCAGTTGGCCTCGCTCTCGACTGCCCGCAACAACCTCGAACGCGAGGTCTCGCGGCTGTCGGCGGTCGAGGCACAGATCTCCTCGCTCCGTTCCATGCTCGACGCCAAGGATCGCGAGCTCGAGCGCCGCGACACTGTTCGAGTCGATGCCTCTGAGACTCGCTCGCGGATCCGCGAGCTTGAGTCTGCGCTCTCGCGCGCCAAGGACGACACTATGGCGGTCGAGCGGCGGGCTCTCGAGGCAGAGTCGCGGGCGCGCGAGATGGAAAGCCTTGTCCGTGAGGCCGAAAAGAGCCGCCGCGACTCGGAGGACCAGGTCCGCGACCTCCGCCGCCAGCTCGCGGACGCCGCCCGCCATGCCGACCGCGCCTCGTCGTCGTCGGTGCAGCTGGAGCAAAAGTCGGCTGAGATATCGTCGCTGCAGCGTACTATTCAGGATCTGCAGCATCAGGCCCGCATGGCGGCGCAGTCACAGGCCAACGCGGCCGACCTCGCCGCCGCCACCCATTCCAAGCAGATGAGCGAGGCACAAGCTAGCTCGCGCCGCCAAGTCGACGAACTGCGGGCCAAGCTCGCCGCCGTCGAGGCACAACTGGCCACCGCTGCCGAGTCGGCCACGGCCGCGCTTGCCAGAGATCATGCTGAGCAGCTGGCGTCTGTCACCGCCAAGTTCCAGTCTCAACTCGCTGCCGCCCAGGAGCGCGAGGTCGAGGCCAAAGCTGCCGCCGCGGCTGCCGCGGCTACAGCCGACGAGCTCAAGACTGCTCTCACACAGCGCGAGGCGACCGTCCGCGAGCTGACACAAGTCATGGCTGCAGTGAGTGTGCCGTCTCCTGGCGTGCCGTCGACACCACCGCCTACCGCTGGACCGCGTGTGACGCTCGACGCACTTGTCGGCGCTACAGCCGACGGCTCGCTCACGACGCAGTCGCGCGAGTACATCCGGGCGTACCAGGCGAGTGTGGCCAGCGAGCTGACAGCAGCTCGCGACGCGCTGCGCGAGGCCGAGGCTGAGCTCGACGCTACCCGCAACGAGCTGGATCGGACCCGTGGCGACGTCGACACCATTGAGTCGGCGTACGCAGCCCTTGAGGCCTCGCATCATGCCACACTCAATGAGAGCACTGCGGCAGCGGGTGAGCTGGAGTCGTCACGGGCGCGCATCCAGGAGCTCGAGACGCATGGCAGCAAGCTCGAGAGCCAGCTGACAGCCGAAGCCGAGGCGGTTGAGTCGCTACGCTCGGTTGTCGACGCGCAGCGCCGTGAGCTGGACAAGGCCCGGGCCGAGCTCCGCGAGTTTGCGCGCGAGAAGCAGGCCATGGAATCGGCCATACTCATGCAAGTCCACGAGACCTCACAGTTCCTCAAGCACACCAAGGACTCTCTCGATGCACGGCCGCCGCCGGTGCCGCTCACGCCGTTCCTCGGCCCCGGCCCGCTTCAGTCGTCGATGATGGGCGGCATGGCGTTTCCGGCCGGGCCGTCACCCATGGTGGGCATGCCACCGCCGCCGCCAGTGTTTGACCCCAACGACACGCTGCATACCCTCTCGCATGCGCTCTCGCAGATCGACCGGGCCCGCGACCTGTCGATGGACCAACTGGCGTCTGCTGACGCCGCACCGTCGGAGCAGCCCCCGCAGGTGCCGGTCGTGCCGGCGGTCAATTTTGACTCGCTGCACGAGGCAACGCTTGCGCAGCTCCACCAGCTGGCCTCGATGGGGACCGAGTAAAAGCGTTTACGGATCAAGTCCATGCGCTGTACTGTCCACTCGGCTGAGCTATTACATCGTAGTGCTTGTGGCTGCGCTGCCGATGGCGGCAAGCGGGTCGGCTTCACCGCGGGCGATTGCGCGCAGAAAGGCAGCGTCGCCCGACTCGGCGACCATCTCGGCAAAGACCGAGTCCGGGTTGTCGATGAGCGCTGCGGGCGAGTCAAACTCGCGGACGGCTCCCGAGTCCATGACCAGGATGCGGTCCGAGTCCATGATGGTGTTGAGGCGGTGGGCGATGCAGATGACGGTGGCATGGCGGAACTCGGAGCGGACGGTGGTCTGGATGAGCTGATCAGTGACGACGTCTGCGGCCGAGGTAGCCTCGTCCATGATGACGATAGACGAGTGGCGAAGGAGAGCGCGAGCAAGGCAGAGGAGCTGGCGCTCGCCGACCGAGTAGTTTTCACCGTTTTCCGAAACAGGGGCCGCGAGGCCTTCGGGCGTGGCGCGGATGGTGGCGTCGAGGTGAGCCCGCTCGAGCGCCTCCCACAGCTCCTCGTCCGAGTGGTTGTTGAACGGGTCGAGGTTGGTGCGGATGGTGCCGGAGAAGAGAACTGGGTTCTGCGGAATGATGGCGATGGAGCGCCGGAGGTCGTCGAGACCCATGCGGGAGATGTTCATGTCGTCGATGATGATGTTGCCCTCGGAGAGCTCGACGAGGCGGAAGATGCAGAGGATGAGCGACGACTTTCCTGCGCCGGTCCGGCCAACGACGCCGACCTTGGTGCCTGGGTCGATGCGGAACGAGCAGTCGCGGAGCGCGGGCTCGAGATCGGGCCGGTAGCGCATGGTGACGTTGTTGAACTCGACGGCGCCGCGGTGTGGCCAGCCGGGCGGGGCGCGGTACTCGTGGACGACGGCCGGCGGCTCCGAGTCAACATTGAGGGTGTAGTGCATGATGCGCTCGACCGAGTTGGACTCGACCTCGGCCTGGGTAGCCATGCGGACCGTCCAGTTGAGCGAGTCGGTGATGCGGAGGGTGTAGGCGATGGTGAGGCCGACGAGACCAGGGTCGATCTTGCCGCGCTCCACCACGCAGAGCATGGCGGTGAAAACGACCAGCAGGTTGCCGAGGAGCTCGAGACGGACCGAGAGCCAGCGGTTGGAGGCCATGGAGAGGATGTACGCGCGGTGGTTGTTGTCGACGGTTTTAGCCGACGCGGCTTCAAAGTGCTCCTCGAGCGCATAGGCGCGGATGGTCGGCGCGCCGGTGATGGTCTCCGAGAAGAGGGCATAGACCGGTGAGCGCGAGACCGAGTCGAGCCGCTTGAGCTCGCGCGAGGTGCGACGGTAGTACTGCTGGACCACGCCGTAGGCAAAAATGACCGGGACGCACGGAATGAGGAACCATGGGATGATGACAGCGACAAGGATGAGCGTGGCGAGGCAGCGGAAGAGCGTGCCACCGAGCGAGTGCAGGGTCTTGGGCAGCGAGTTGTCGATCGAGTCGATGTCCTTTGAGAACCGCGAGAGGATGCGGCCAATGGGCGTGGTGTCGAAGAACGACATCGGTGCGCGGAGGATGTTGGCAAAGAGCCGCGAATGGAGGGCCCGCGAGGCCGCAACGCCGGCGCGTGCAAAGAGCAGTGACCGCGCGAGGAGGAGGAGCGTGTTGGAGAGGCCGAGGATTACGTATGTCGGAAGGTACTTGGAGAGAGGCGCATGCGTGTCGGACGACCACTTGGCAAGCCAGTAGTCCTGCGAGACACGAGTGGCCTCGGCGGCTATAAAGAGGACGAGAACAACGATGCCAAAGACGACGCCGCCAAAGGCGCGGAGATAGTAGAGGTAGACGCGCCACTTGACGGCTCCGGTGTTGCGCTCCTCGGTCGTCATGAGCGAGCCGGATGGACCAGCCTCAGATTCGGCGCCAGTCGACTTGGTCTCGTCGTCGGCCGAGCCGACACCGAGCGACGGACCGATGGTCACGCCCTTGAGTTCCTCGACCGGCTTGGCGTCGGCCTCGGCGAGCGCGGCGAGGACCTCCGAGGTGTCGAGCTCGACCGTCGAATCGCCGCCGTCGAGGGGTGCAAAGCTGAGCTCAGGCGAGACAGCGTCGTCGAGGCCGGGCGACGCAGCCTCGTTAGCCTCGGCAATGGAAACAAAGTCGACACCCTGGGCGAGGAGGTCCTGGTAGGTGCCAACGTGCTGGATTGAACCAGCGTCGACGACGACAACAAGGTCGGCAGACGGCAGGTACTGGAGCTGGTGGGTGACGAGAACACGAGTCTTCCGGCCAAGCACGCTCGGGTCAAGAATGGCGTGCTCGAAAATGTGCTTGCCGACGTGGACGTCGACGGCCGAGAGCGGGTCGTCGAGGAGCACAATGTCTGTGTCAGCAAAGACAGCGCGGGCGAGCGCAACGCGGGCCTTTTGCCCACCAGACAGGTTGATGCCCTTCTCACCGATCTCGGTCGAGTCGCCAGCCGGCAAGATAGCAAGGTCCGGGAGGAGAGCGGTGGCGCGGAGCGTCTCGACGTACTTGTCGACCATGGGTGCTGCAGCGGAGCCGTGTGCGGCGCAGTCGTCGTTGTACTCGTCCTTGCGGCCAAAGAGCACGTTGTCCATGAGGGTGGCATTCATGACCCATGCCTCCTGCGGTGCGTACGCGACCGAGCCTGATACCTGGACTGAGCCGGAGCGGCGCGGGACTTCGCCGAGGAGCGCCGAGAGCAGCGTCGACTTGCCCGAACCGACGCGGCCGACGACTACGACGAGCGAGCCGGGAGCGATTGTGAGCGAGACGTCGGCGAGAGTGGGAACGGCCGATTCTGGCTCCCAGGTAAAGACGCCGTCGGTGACCGAGATGGCGCCGCGAGGCGCCATGGCTGCTGCTGATCGGTCGGCAGCAGCGGTTGTGGCTGCTGCCGACGACGGCGACGGCATGAGGTACGGGAGCGGCTCACGAGTTTGGCCAAACTGCTGCGGCAGCTCATCAGCATTAAGAAAGGCGGAGAGGCGGCGGACAGCGACAACAGTCTCGATGAGCATGTTCATAACGTTGGGCAAGAACGAGATCGGGAACCAGAGGAGGCCAAAGAGAGCCATGGACGAGAAGATTGCCCCCGGCTCGAGCGGGTCATGGGTAAACGCATAAACAATGTACGTGGTAGACGAGACCATGAGCATGGAAGAGAGCATGACAAAGTAGTTGACGGCGTTGTAGTTGGCTTGGGTCTGGAGGACGGCGGTCTCGTCGGCGCGGAGGCCGTGGACTTTGTCCTCATACTCCTTCTCCCACCCGTAGAACTTGAGGATACGGATGCCCTGCAGAATTTCGTTCATGGCCATGACGCGGGCGTCGGTGAATTTGACCAGGCGCGAGCGGAGGCCGGAGAGCTTCTTGCCGATTCGGGTCTGGATGGGAACAAGTGCGACCATGATAAAGACGCCGGCCAGCGCCGACCAGCCGATGGCGCGGAAGAGGAGAGAGAGAGCAATGACAATCTGCAGCGGGCACGACCAGGTGAGGTGGAGGAACTGGGCCATGGCCTGGACGCGCGAGACGTCATTGGACATGAGGTTGGTGATCTCGCCAGCGGTGTAGCCTGCGCGGGCTTGCGACGAGAGCTTGAGCGCCTTGGCGTAGACCGCGCCGACAAGGGCCGAGCGGACGTGCATGCCGCTACGGAAGCACTGGTGGAAGTACTGGTTGATGCACATGGTCTGGATGAGCTTGGCCACAAAAAGCCGATGACGTAGAGGTAGCCGAGGTAAGCCGGCTTGGACGGATCCTGCACGTACGTTACAGTCTGCGCGAGCAGGAGCGGGCCAGAGAACTGGATGAGATCCTGCGCGAGCTTGAAGCCGGCCGCCCGAGTGAACCGGCCTCCAAACGCGTGGCGCAGCGAGTTGACGACCGGCCATGCCGACTTGGCCTTGGCCTTTAGCGCCTCGGCGTCGTCGCCAGCCTCGGCCTTGAAGCCAACAATGACGTTGCGCCAAGCGGCGGCGAACGAGCGCGAGGCGACTGCCGAGAGGTCCGCCGTTCGAAGCTGGAACAGGTTTTCCTGCATGATCGGAAACTTGTGACCAAAGTACACGAGGCTGTTGAGCCACCAAAAGGTGATGGTCGAGAAAAAGCCAGCCGTTGGCTCGGGCGACGGCCCACCCAGTCCGGCTTTGGCTGCTGCAAAGCCGCCTGGAGTGTCAAAGCCACCCTCGTTAGCGGTGAGCCGGACGGGTGTAGCAGAGACGCCACCACGACTGGGCACACTCTGCGCCTCATCCTCGACAGCTCCGCCGTAGTAACCGCGTCTGCCGTCACCAGAACTAGTGCCTGAGCCCGAATCTGATGATGACGGCAGCTCAGAGGAGCGCATCCGTCCCAGAGCTGACATGCTTGCTGTTTGCTGACGGTCGTCGGTGTTTGGTCACGAGGGGACTTGTGCGACTTGAAGGGGGGGGGGGGGGGGAGAAGGCCTGGCCTCTTGCAGAGGGAAGCAGACAAACTGGGGGAGCGGACGTGCCGGCGTTGGTTGGTAGCCTGGCCCGAGAGTAGTGCAGAACGATGGGTGCGGGAGCAGAGGCACTGCCAATGCTGTGGACCCTTGCCAGTGGCGGCTTTGATGTCGTCACTGATGGGCGACCGCTGTGATCGATCGGAGCGGGGCAATGCGGAGCGACCTCGCGACCTTGCTGATAGTGCGATTTTGCCCGATTAACAGGTTGCTGGAGATCGACAGGGCGGAGCAAGGAGCTATGGACCATCACACTGTTTGTTGAAGTCTCACTTGAGAGTGGATGATTCGCCTCAGTAGAGGCTGGTCGGAATGAAAAGCCATGAGATAGCCATGGAAAGAAGGGTGATGAGGAACGCGCGGGTGAGCGCCGCAAGCGGCGCGATGGCGACGGCTCCGTCGCCATGTAATGTGGACAATGGTGCGAGCAGCACCGTTGCCGGCTCCGTCGCCATGTAATGTGGACAATGGTGCGAGCAGCAAAGGTGCCGTTGCCGAGGCTCTCGTTCCACGCCAGAGTATTGTCGTTGCGCGAGACCGAGACGATGTCGCACGCGCTGTCGCTGTTGATGTCGGCGCGAATGCTCCGGGAGAGGGAGTTCGGCGAGCCGCTTGGAGGGGGATGCACCGGAACCGCTCATGTTTTGGTACCACGCAACTTGCCGGGCGCTCTGTGCGGCCGAGACGAGGTCCATTGTCCCATCGCCATCGACGTCGCGCGCCGGTCACGGCCGAGTCAACGATGGAGCCTGCGTCAAAGACGCCGAGACCGTTGTTGGCAAACCACATCACAGTGTGGATGGGAAAGGAGACGACGGCGACGTCGCTGTCACCGTCACCATCAAAGTCAGCCACGGCGAGATCGTAGGCGGTGGCGAGCCCGCGGGCGACAACGCGCGACGACTCGAACGTCCCGTTGTTGTTGCGGAACCACGGCACGACGCCGTAGTCGTAACCGGTGGCTACGACGTCAAGAGCAGCATCACGATCAAGGTCGGCTAGCACCACAGCCGTGGTACCGGTGGCATCTGTGGCGTCGAGAATGATCGGGGGGCCGAAAGGAGGCAACGGCGCCGCTTGGGAGACGCAAGAACCACAGCAGCACCAACGAGGAGCAGCAGCACGGTGGAAGCGACGGGCCGCATTGCAGGGTCACGTCAATACTCCTTGCAGGCAAAGGCTAACGAAAAAGAGTCTATTGCAGTATCCCTACTTGCAGTGTAGGGCTGCGTTGGGCCGTTGATGGCCGTCGATGGCCCTGCTGCAGTTGACGTTGATGCACCAGTGAGCGAGTGTGATGCGGCCGCGGCACGCGTGGGTTTCGTTGTGCAAGGTTGCTCAGCCAAAGGGAGGCAAAGAAGTGCGGAAGAGTGTGAGTAAAGTTCAAGAGCGCCTGCCAAAGCTCCTCCTTGTCAGTGCAGGCTGGCAGTGGGCTGATGCTGCGGGTGGCGAGCGCACATAGGGTGCAGGGCGTGAGTGCGGCGTGCAAGCAACCACGGCACGGTGGTGGAGGCGGCTAACGCATGCCGACAGCATCGGCCCGCGGAGAAAAAAAATATCTGAGGGAGGATGAGCAGCTGCGCCAGATGGAAATGTTACCCTTTTAAAGGCGCGAAAGCCAAGCAAGTTGCATATCATCAACAAGCACCATGTGTTGCACCATACCCTAAAGTCGGGAGGAAGCAGCATAAGATATGAGGGTAGTTTATGGAGTTCGGTGAAAGCGCATGCACACAAAATAAAACCTGCATTCATCAGAACCACCGGGTCGTCAAAAACATCACGTTCGCGACGTCGCGTATGGCGGCGTCGCCAACGGGACGAGGGGGAGGGGCGAGGGCTTGGTGGCCCTCAAGTGAGAGGTGACGTCCACTCTCGACTCTCGTCACTCAAAGTGTCACAAAGGACACAGCCAAGGATGGCTGAGCGAGCCAGCGTGTTAGCGCGTGGCAGCCGGCTGCGTGGGCGTGTTGAGGCGGCACCGGCCAATGTCGGGGCGAGCCACGACATTGGCATGGGGCGGCCAAGCAAGGAAGCCGAAGCATCCGGTAGCAGCAACGAGGAGGGCGGAGGCAGCAAAGGGGGAGAGGCGCGCAAGAGCAAGGGCGATGCAGGCGATACTGGTGGTGGTACAGGTCGGACTTTCGCCAGGCGCGTGACCTCGAGAAGGCTGACGGTGGACTCGGGCCCGGCAGCGAGTCATGGTAGCGGCTTTGGGCGGTCGCGGCGGCGGCGGCATTCCGCGCCACAGGACATGCTTCGGGCAGCGCAAGAGCGGTTGTTTCTGGCACGGCTGTCATCAACGGGAAGCGAGGGGTGGATGATTGGTGCTGGCAATGCGGCCGGCGAGAACGCCGAGCGGTTGGAGGCTGTGGTCGAGGCCGCGTTTTCCCGCGCTGACGCCACCCCGGCATTGACGGAGACTTCCAACACAAGTTCGGGCTCGGGTTCGGGCTCGGGCTCGAACACGGCGAGCACGGCGTCGTCGCGACGGCCGCAGTCCGCGCCGCGGCGGAGGGGCGGAAACATGCGGGGGCGGCTGTCGTCCTCAGGCTCGCTCCAACTCCTTTTGCGGTCGCGGTCGGGAACGGGCTCAGGCTCGGGCTCGGCATCCGGGTCGGGAACAGGAACGTTTTCGACGACCTCGACGACAACGGCGTCGCACTCGACCTCGTTCTCGGCCTCGTTCTCGGCCTCGCGGTCGGTCTCGCGTTCAGTGTCGCGGTCGATGTCGCGTTCGTTTTCAAGGTCACCGTCGCGGTCGCCGTCTGTGCCAACGAGCCGGACACGGACGCGGCAGGGAAGCGACCCCGGATGGCTGTGCAGCGGCAGGCGGGCGCAGGCTTCGCCGCCGCCACTGCTGCGGACGGCGGGATCGAAGGCGACGGAGCCCTACTCGACTCTCGCGATCAAGGTGCCCGCAATGGCGGTCGGTGCGCGAGCGGAGCGGAAGGAAGGGCGGCGGTCTGCGTCGTCAGACTCGCGCGAGTCAGTATCAGACGCAGATGGGCGCAGCCTACGGACCAGCTCAGGCCTGCCGTCACCGCTGTCTGCCACGTCGTCATCGATGACTGCTGCTTCTATCCAGGCGTCGACCTCGTTCTCGGACGCGTTTCAGGCCAAAATGCGGCAGCAGTCTGCCGACTCCTTGCTCTCGTCGGGGCTCTCGTCGGCGCGATCGGGCATCTCACCGCTCACCTCGCGCGATCCGTCGTTCGAGGACCTGCTAATGCAGCGCGGAGCCGGGGCGGAGATGGACGACGAGGCGGCGCGGCGTTCAGCGATCGAGAAACTGTCGGGCGTGGCATCAGAGGTTCTGCCGCGGTTGTTTGTCTCGGGAGCCGCGGTGGCGCTCAACCGTGAGCTCCTGGCCTCGCACGGCATCACCCACGTCCTCAATATGGCCGGCTACGAGATCGACTCGCCTTTTGCAGACGAGCTGGCGTACTTTACGCTGCGGCTGTCAGACTCGCGCCTGGCGCCGCTGCGATCGCTCATCTGCCTCGCGCTGCAGTTCATCTCACGGGCGCTCTCTGATCCTAACTCGCGAGTCCTTGTGCACTGTGCCAAGGGCGTGTCGCGGTCGGCGTCGATTGCGACGGCGTTTGTCATGTGGGCGCGGTCGTTGGACTACGATGCGGCCTTGGCGGTGGTTGCTGCATCGCGGCCGATTGTGGCTCCCAACTCGGGCTTTGAGTGCACGCTCGTCGAGTGGTACCAGTACACGTCAATGCCACCCTCTGAACGGCCGAACACGCTGTTTTACCTCGCACCGCTCTCGCTGTACGACGCCACCACGTTGGTGCTCAAGCAAGTGAAGCGGGCGATTTCGCCGGAGCTGGTGCAGCGGCTCGACCCGCGGTTCATCTTTGTCCTCCGGACGCCGCAGCGGTGCTGGGTGTGGCACGGCCTGCAGGTGCGGACGGGTGTCGGGCTCATCGAGGCTGTCCTCTCGCACGTTGCGCTGTGGACAGCGTTTGAGGGCGACACCGCAACGGTCTCGCACGTCCGGATGGGCAGCGAGCCGCTTCCGTTTTGGAGCTCGCTCACGGGAATGCAGAGCGAGGAGATCAGCGTGCCGGTGCTCAATGCACAGGTCCGGCTCCAGTCGCTCTACGACGTCGAAGCCTCGCTACTCCCCACAACGGCGTCGAACTCGTCTGACGAGTCTTTGGCTCCAGGCACACCGACGTCGCCCATTTCGCCGTCGATCCACAAGCCCTCTGCAGTGCTGCCGTCGGAATCACCGCTCGTCTCGCCGCGATTCGGGCCGCCTGGCACCATCCGGGCGTACTCGCGGCAGTCTGAGCCGCCGCTTCTCTTCCAGTACCCTTTCTGGGAGTCGCTGGAGATGTTCGACTCGGACGACCTGTGGGAGGACCGAATGTTTGTCCTACTTCCACCATCGTCCCTTCCCACACCTCCCGACTTTGCCTTTGTGTGGATCGGCTCTCACTGGACGCCCGACGAAGCCACGTCGCCGGCGACTTCGCCCACGTCTGGCGGCTCGCCCATCGAGCACTCGAGCTACTCGCCACCTGGCGGGCCGGAAACATCGCCGTCAGCCTCGCACTCGCCGGGGTCGCACTCGCCACTGACGTCGTCGGGCTTGGCGAGGCAGGCGTCGGCGTCGACGAAGCCCTCGCGCTCAGCAGCGGCGACAACCGGGGCTGAGACCGAAACCGAAGCCGGGGCCGAGACGGAGACTATGACCTCGACCTCGACCCCGACCTCGGTCGGGACTGGGACCGGAACTGGGACTGGGACCGGAACCGAGACGACGACCACTTCGTCGTCGTCGTCGACGTCGGCTGCTAACTCGCCCGAAGCATGCGAGCTTGCGCTGCCTGGCCCGCTGCCCTCGCGGCACGGGACGTGGAGCGTGATGAACCGCGGAGACGTTGCGTCGCCGCGAACGCCGGCCAATGGCGGCGTACGGCGGCGCAGGCGCGGGCGGGCGCGGTCACCGTCGTTCTCGTCGTCGGTCTCCAACTCGCCGTGGTCGTCGCCGGTCTCCTCACCGCGGCTCTCGAGCTCGACGGCCGCGCTCCTGCCTGCGATTGCCAAAGCGGTCGCCGCATGTGATGTGTCGTCGGTGGCGCCGTCGACGCCGCGTGACTCGCGGTCAGTGGCAGCGCTGGCGGCGGCGGTCGACTTTTTGCAGCTGGCTACGTCCGGGCGAGCGGCGTCGGTTCCACTCTACCTGCAGTATCAGGGCCTGGAATCTGGCGAGTTCTGGTCGTACTTTACCAATGGATGAAGCTGCGAGCGATAAACCGCGACAGTCTACGTGCAGATGATGCTGCCGGCGCCCTCTACCTCGCTCATTTGCGGATGCGGATGACGCCCTCCTGGACAACCGAGATCTTGAGCTCGCCGGCCGAATCGTAGATGCGACCGGCTGTGACGCCCCGGCCCGAGCCGGCAAAGTCGGACTCCATCTCGTAGAGCATCCACTCGTCGGCGCGGAACGGGTTGTGAAACCACATGGCGTGGTCGAGCGAGGCGATCATGGCGAGCTGCGGCGAGTACAGCTTGAGTCCGGCAGCGACGAGCGGGGTGGTGGTCAGGCCCCAGTCGGAGAGCCAGGCGGCGATGCAACGGTGAATGTGCGGCGAGTCCCCGATCTCGCCGCGGGCGCGCATCCACATCAGCTGGCGTGCCTTGCGCGGCGCAATGGTTTGTGGCGGGTCCATCAGCGGCGCCAGCGCTTCGTCGAGGTTGCCGCCGACTTCGCGAACCTCGAGAGGGAACGGCTGGAGCACGGCCGACTTGAGGAACTTGCGCATCCGCTCCGGCACGCGCTCGTCGGCGGCGGCCGCGCCGAGCAAATCGCCGACAGACGGCTGCTCGTCAGGGCTCGGCGCCGGTGGCATCTCCTTCTGATATTGCAGCGGCGAGTCTTCCGGAACGTGGAACGAGGCCTGCAGCTGCGCAATGGGCACGCCGTCTTGGATGACGGTCACCGCGCGCGATCGGAACGACCGCCCATCCAGCAGCCGGCGAATCTTGAAGAGCAGCGGAACCGAGGCGTTGCCCGGCTTGAGAAAGTAGGCATGCATCGAGTGCAGCTCGTGGCCACCTGATCCGCCACAAGCGCCACTCCGGCTCGAGGCCGACGCGTCGTCGTCGTCATCGAGGGTCATGTGGGCTGCAACCACAGCCTGGCCCACTACCTGCCCACCGTACACACCCTTTGAGCCTGGAGGGTGCCACAGCGCACCCACATCGGCAGTCCGGTACAGATCGGTGTCCAGCTTCTCTAGCTCGAGCACGTGGCCATACGACCACGACGAGTCATGTCCCTTGTCCATGCCCAGCGAGAGCCACCGGACTGCACCTGCTGTTGGTGGTACCCGGCCAAGGGTGTGACCAGCCAGTACACGTGTAGCCCGAAGCATGATAAACGGTGTGTGCGTGTGTGTGTGCCTTGGGGTAGACAAGTGCCGTGGCCGGTATGGACGCGGCGCTGGCGAACAATGGCGGGGAACAGGGAGCCGATGGTGATGCGTTGGCTGAGGGGGGGGGATCGGATCAGGTGAGGTGATTGTAGTGTGCGTGAGAGTGGGTATGATGGATGGGATGGTGAAGAGAGCGAGAGTGATGGCGTCAATAGGTAGGGGGGGGGGAGGAGAGCCCGCCGCGCGCGCGGACGTACCAAGCTTGGCCCAGCCCTGATGGCAAGCAAAGTGAGAAACCATCAACATCTGGATACCCTAACATGGTTAGGGAGCAGTATCGATGGGCCAGTAGATGAACATGTTGAGGGCTGCAAATGGGAAACAGGATGGAAAGCAGGCGATGGGTGGTATCCGTCATAGTGGCCACGGGCGAACAGACTCGAGAGTGTGGAGAGCCACCCTCGGTCTAGCCGAACACACGGCGGTCGACCACCACCAACCACGTCCCGCAATGGTCAGAAGGATGAGAGTGGCACCCCACTCACTGCGGCCAGGCCACCACCGAGGATGGGCAATGCCGTGTGCAAGGGAAAGACACCCAAGTATGTCCCTTAGAGCGAGGAAGGAAGGGGGGGGGGGGGGTATGTCGGCCACAGTGCGGGTGTTGCGGGCGTGGCGGGCATGATGCGGGCATGATGCGGGCATGATGCGGGCATGATGCGGGCATGATGCGGGCATGATGCGGGCATGATGCAGGCTTGGCGCGTGGGCTGAGGCTGTTTCCTCTCTCTACTCACGATCATGGGAGCGACACCACTTACGATTGGTGGGATCTGTTCTTGCGCCTGTCTGCGCCTGTCTGCGCCTGTCTGCGCCTGTGGGTTTGCCCGTCCACCGGTCTTGGGTGGGTCTGGGTCGGGCCTTGGGGGGGGGGGGGGGGGGATGCAGGCTGCCAAAGAAGCGGACGCCGTGCGTGATGCTGGTGGGAGGGAGCGGATGCGGCAAGTCGGCCCTGGCGCAGCAGCTTGTTTACCACGAGTTCCCGACGGACCACCAGCCGACCATTGTCGATGGCTACGAGAAGCACTTTGTGCTCGACGACTTTGCGGCACGCATCTCGATTGTCGACTGTGGTGGCTCGGACGAGTACGTCAAAGAGATCAACAAGTACGTCGAGCAGGCCTCGGGGCTCATTTTTGTTGTCGACGTGACCAACCCGGACTCGCTTGACGCTGTCAATAGCAAGTACACGGGCCTGCTGGCGCTGCGGCCGGACGTGGCTAACCTGCCCAAGGCTGTTGTCGCCACCAAGACAGACTCAGTGGATCGCGTCGTCTCGCAGCCGGACATCACCGCTCTCGCTGCACACTGGTCGTGCCCGCATGTCGAGACATCGGCGCAGTCGTACGACGATGTCGAGGCCGCCTTTCGCGTCCTCGTCGCCAAGCTTGTGCCCGAGGCCGCGCCGGATGGCCCGTAAACGCAGCTGCATCTCACAGTGCTTGCCGCTTGCCGCCAAACGGTTGGAAGGCCTGGACCGCAGCCTCAGCCGCATGCTTGACATCGTCGTCCTGGACCCGGTTCGACGAGACAATGACGTTGGCCTCGGCCATGACCTGGTTGAGGGCGCAGAGCAGAGCCTCGATGCTGGGCGTGTCGAAAAAGTCGTTGACCAGAATGAGCTCCGACTCATAGAACTGGTGGGCGAGCGGGTCGTAGATGTAGAACCACCAGTGCCGGGTGTCGGTCACTACGCCAAACAGCCGGTCGTAGTACTTGCGGTTGACGGTGTTGCGCTCAAAGGCAGCGTGGAGCTGGACAAACAGCATGCCGCGCGCCTTGTCAAAGCCTGACGGCGGCGCAGAGACGACCACAATCGCCGGCATGTGTGGCGGGAACGTCGGTGGGCCAATCGAAAACTGGACGGGGCCCTCGGCGTACCGCCCCGCCAGCTTCTTGCCGATGTTGATCGAGAGGTGGGTGTATGGCGTGAGCACCTCCTGCAGCATTCGTGCCAGTACCAGATGTCGCGTCTTCTCGTCAGTGTCACGCGCATGCGAAAAGACAGAGCCAAACTCCTGCATCGACGCCATGAACCGGAACAGCGTCTCCTCGGTAACCGGCGGCGCGAGATCAAAGCCAAACTTGGGCAGCGGCAGCTCCAGGGCAAGAAACTCGAGTGCCTTGGGCAGGTTCCACTTGGAAAACAGCCGGCCCTTGTCCAGCTTGACCTTGCCCGGCGAAAAGCCCATCGGCCGGCCCCGACCCAGCGGCTTGTACTCGAACAGCGAGTCAAAGACCGACCGCGCCGCCGCCAAGCTCGCCCGCCCGATCTCCGAGCCTGCAAACGCCGTCCACGCAGGCGCCACAGTAGCATCCCACGCACGCTCCCACATCGCCATCCGCGCCCGGCTTTCCTCATCCGTCTCCCACAAGCCCGAGTCCGGAGCCATTCCCCGCCGCGCCTCTTCACCAGCTGCCACCACCGTCGTCGCCTCGGTCGCCTCGCCCACAAGCTCTGCGGTACGCTCTCTCTCGGGCTCTCCTGCAGGCTCTGCCCCAGCGCTTGCTCCACTGCTTGCACGCCGCACAAGCATCGGCCTCATATTGCGGACCGAGGCCACCAGCGAGGCTGCCAATGAGCCAGTGAGCCTCTTCGAGCCCGAGAGCGGGAGAGCTGCCATAGCCGGCCGCGGGGCATGTGAGACCGCCACGCCCATGGCCTTGCCCAAGCCAACACGAAGCATTGGCAGAAGTAGCAGAAGAGACCAAGCGAGTACCGGTAGACGAGTGTGGCGACAAAGGAAAGTATAAGTGAGTGAGTGTGTGTGAGTGTGTGTGTCAGAGAGAGTGTGTGTGTCGCTGTGGTGGACGTGTCTGTGCGCGGCATTGGCCCCACACCCGCCCCGCCGGCACTGCACCCTCTCCCCCCCCCCC